AAGCTTTCCAAGGTGTGGTGGCTTTGGAAATAGGAATGTTTAGTCAATCTCTTATGTTCTCTCTCAAGTGTAGGAAAAAGAAAAGTTGCCTAAATATACAAAACACAGCACCTCTTTTGTTAGCCTTTTCTTTGCTTTGATAGTATATTTACTGTGGTCAGACCCTCAATCAAGGTTTTTGTAAGTAAACTGTTATATTTTAATAAATGTGTTTCATTAATTTTGTACTAAAAGTGAGATATTTTGAGTTTTACTAATAGCTATCTTTTCTAATGATTTTAACTAAAACCTTGAACTTTTTAACTGTAAAATCGTAAGTATAGGAAAAACAGTGAAGAATTATGTACCACACTTCCAAATCCCAGCATTTGATGTAGAATTGTCAAAGTCTTTGTGTTTGAAACATTACCGATACCATGTTTATTCTCTGCCATTATGATGTGCTCAGGTAAAATGAGAAATAATTATGCCATCACAAAGTATTGTTTGTAAATTGCTTAAGATAATCCTTACTTTGCAGTACTTTGGTTTTGGAAGCATCAGGGCCCCCAAATTATTTTAACTTAAGTAATTGTGCCTCAGCTGAAATGTGTCATGTGTCAGACCCTTGATAAAAGAGAGGGCATGTTGACTTAGCAATCAGTGAAGAAACTCAACCTAGTTAAACTGCTTCATGTGTTGTATAGTCTTAAGGTTTCCATGTCAGTGTTTTCAACGTGGCTCAACCGACATGCAGAAATTGCATGTTGTGGCCTGTTGCGCCTGGTAATTTGGTTACAAACCTGAACCTTTGCTCTGGATACCATTAGGATTACTTGCTATGAATATAATTAAAATTAGTGATGTCTTCTTGGAGAAGAAAATAGGGTTTTTTTAGTGTTATAATAGTCTCTGCAGAGTAAGCTTTATCAGGGAATAAGTTTAGAATAGAATTGAACCCAGTGATATATAAAACTGTCACCTTATTGTTACCCACAAAGACTATGTAGTTACAGTTACTGGAGTAGTTATAGACTATTGTTGGGAATGCTGTCTTTGCCTGTATATTTTTTTTTCTCTTTTCTATTCTTCCTGGCAAGATGTATGTATCGTAAGGCTTAAAAGTAGAGTCACCAGATATCAAAAAACATCCTTCTGCATGTAGTATTTCTCTGGAAAGGCTGATGTCAGCATTGGTCATTGGTCACAGCCAGCATAGCTTCATGAGAGGGAAGTCCTGCTTATCCAACCTGATTTCCTTTTATATAACCCACCTAGTTGATCAAGGGAAGCCAGTTGATGTAATCTTTTTGGATTTCATTAAAGCTTTCAATAATGTCTTTCACAAGATTCTGCTGGACAAAAGGTCCAGCACACAACTGGGTAAACACATCATGTGGTGGGTGAGCAGTGGGCTCATGGATCAAGCACAGAGGGTAACAGTGAATGGGGTGACATCAGACTGGTAACCTGTCACTAGTGGGGTTCCACAGGGCTCCATCTTGGGCCCTGTGCTCTTCAAACATCTTTATAAATGATAGAATGCAGGACTAGAACGGTTGCTAAGTAAGTCTGCAGATGACACAAAAGTGGGAGGAGCTGTTGAAGGCAGGGAGGCCCTGCAGAGAGATCTCGACAAATGAGAGGACTGGGCAATCACCAACCATATGAAGTTCAACAAGGGCAAGTGCCAGATTCTGCACTTGAGGCAACCCTGAATGTTTGTATAGACTAGGGAATGAGATGCTGAAAAGCAGTGCTGTGGAAAGGGACCTGGGGGTCCTGGTCGACAGCAAGTTGAATATGAGTCAGCAGTGCCCTGGCAGCCAGGAGGGCCAACCGTGTCCTGGGGGGCATCAGGCAAAGCATCGCCAGCCGGTCGAGGGAGGGGATTGTCCTGCTCTGCTCTGCACTGAGGTGGCCTCACCTTGAATAGTTTGCAGTTTTGGGCACCACAACATGGGAAAGATATTAAGCTCTTAGAGAGTGTCCAAAGGAGGGCAATGAAGATGGTGAAGGCCTTGAGGGGAAGCTGTATGAGAAGCAGCTGAGGTCACTTGGTGTGTTCAGCCTGGAGAGGAGGACACTGAAGGGAAACCTCATGGCAGTCTAGAACTTCCTCATGAGGGGCAGAGGAGGGGCAGGCACTGATCTCTTATCTGTGGTGGTCAGTGACAGGACTCGAGGGAATGGCCTGAAGTTGTGCCAGTGGAGGTTTAGATTGGATACTAGAAAAATGTTCTTTACTCAGAGGATGGCTGGGAACTGGAACAGGCTCCCCATGGAAGTGGTCACAGCACCAAGCTAGACAAAGGTCAAGAAGCATTTGGATGAAACTTTCAGGCACATGATGTGACTCTTGGGCATGTTCCTGTGTAGGGTCAAGAGTTGGACTTGATGATCCTGATGGATTGTCCTAGTTAGAACAGCTGGGACCAATTCATCACTGGATGGGTGTAACCCAAAACTGTGTATTCTATAGCCTTCCATGCCATTTCCCAGAAACTGTTATCAATAGAGCATTTACACCCTCTGCCCAGAGCAGCCTGACTCCTCAGGCTATAAACTAGGCGTTATGAGGCCTGCGAGATAGGAAGATGTTCCTGTCCTCACACCCTTTTATGGAATTCCCTGCTCTGAGGGAAGGACTGAGCATTCCTGCCTGAACTGGAGAACATATAAACTTGGAGTTTTGGAACCTTTTTACCACTTGTGGGATCCAGAGGAAGACTGCAGCTCACCGCTCTCAACCGGACTGGGACCACCACCCTCAACTGGACTGCAGTCACCACTTTTGACCAGACTGCAACAGCTCTCCCACCAGCAGATTTTTCCCCTCTCCCTTTACTTTGGACTCGGGGGGTGGGGGGCAAGGAACACCACTTTGTTCATGCCCTAGGGTGCTGGGTTATACATTTGGGTTTTGTGGGTTAAGACCAATTGTTTGTCTGTATAATCATACTTATTGTATTATTTTATTAAATTGTTATTCTGACTTATAATCTCTCTTTTGAGTTGAGTTCATTTCCCCTGCTGGTTAACTTTTAAACCAGCACATGGGTCCCTTCCAACTCAACATGTTTTGTGATTCAATGATATGTCAGATGTATAGAATTCTACTGGAAAGTGATTATAAATCATTGCAATGAAAAAATTAAAAACATTAAAAAATTCATAGTATTTTGTGAATGCTACAAGATGGATGATTTAGTTTACCTGATCAGCTCCTCTGGAACTGTTCAACAGCTTGACCCAACTCTTCTAATGTATTAATTTTTGAGATTTGGGTCCAATTTCTCAAAATTGGTGGTACTTTGAGCAGTTGTTTAATGCCATTAGTACTACATAACTGCAAGAATATTTCTTGCAGTTAGACCTCCCATTTCCCCCTATGTTTTGCCATTTCTAACATGCGTCCCAAAAGAAAAACATTTTAGGTCAATTAAATCTTTATTTGTAATCTCAAATTGTATTCCTTTCCAGGCCTGTAATCTGCTTCTGGTTTACTGAATCTCATTGATGTCCCTGCTCAGTTGTATCAGGTGTCTGTTCCATGTGCATGCATTAACACTATACAATTAATTTTAAAGTAACCGTTTCAGAAGCTCCATCCGTCTTGTAGAATTTGAAGACGACATTGCTTCAGATTACATGCATGTTTTTTAAATTGTGAGTTTTCAGGTCCCTTCCAGTGTTTCTTTGTTATGGCAAGTGTCTGATGTAAAGTATATGGTAAAAACCGATCTTGCAATTCAAATTTTCTTCATTCACAGTGTACTGAAGTTAATTTTTGTCCTAAGACATTTAAATGTTAGATTACTGAAATGCTTCCTGTGAACTTTTGTAAGCTTATAAATAAAACTTGCAAATGTAAAATTTTTGAGAGCTAAAAATTCACTAACAGTTAATTTTGCTGGATTTCTACAAGCATGGGAAGCAGATGGTTGAGGAAAAAGAAGCAAACTTTTAATTTCAAGATGGGTCTTTACAAAAATGTTTAATTTCCAACATTTTTACTTTGCAGAATCTCAGGTTCTTTTTCATGGGTGTACAAGCTCCATGAGAAAATCTCAGGTATTATTTTGTAGCATAAATGAACAGTCTAGTCTTAATCATCTTTCATGAATATTTGAGGTGTAGGTTATGGATATCTTCCACAGCAAAGAGTCTGAGACCACAGGTTGTGGACCACTGTGGCACCCCACCGTAAAGGGGAAGGGAACACCCAAGATTCGTAGTTGCCCATGGTCAAAAAAGAACAACAGAAGTCAGTGTCTGTAAAAACTTACAAAGTTTTATTATTAAACTATACACACAGCATGGAAATTGTTATAAGTTAGTCCTTTATAATATAAACACATGATGGTATATTTTTAATAAGGGATAGGGTGAAAGAGAACAAAGATTAAAAGAGAGGGTAAAAGAAAGAAAGGAGAAAGATCACCAGTCCTGGCTCCAGTGTCAATGCGGCTGATGTGATGTCCAGGGTCCTGGGGCACATGTGTGCCTGAGCTTTGGGGGAGTACCATTTTATAGTAAAGGTTTCCTCACCCTTGAGTTAGGTTTCTTGTTTTCTATGCAAATGAGTTATCATGTGCAGTATGTTCTTCCAGACCTTTCTGGAATGGATCAGAGGGCTTTGGGGATCTTTGGTGGTCCCTACTTACTGATCTTTGGCCAGCAGTCCATGCCCACATCTTGACCTCATTTCTACACTTGTGCTGTACTGTGTTGTGCTCATCTCCAGGAACCAGAACATGGACCTTTATCCCAGAAGAGTTCTACCTCACCTCTGTATGGCCCCCTTTTCCTTTCACATCATGTTTTTTCTCATGGTATGTTCTTACCAACAATTCCTGATTGGCTCCACAGCTATCTGGCTATTGATATTTAAGACATACACATTAGCCCCTGTATTTTCTGGACTTCTGTAACCCACTGATTCAGACTTTGGGATGTTTAGTATGCACCACTACTACTTTTCTTATTGCAGTTTTACTTATTGACTTCTTTTCTTTTAGGAGCTGTAGCACTGAACAATCTGGAAATAAAAGAAAATGCCTTGGTAAGCTAGTGAAAATAAAAATATAACATGAAAAAATTATTCATGATCAATGTTTTGGGTTTGGTGGGCATTTTTTAGTTCTTATTTTAGGATACACTGTCTTTTAAGTGGAAGCTTACTGGTTTGTTTTCTGTATACCTGTGTGGATTATCTGATTAATTTTAGATTAAATTTAGAGGTGAAAGTATATGCCTTTTTTTTTTTTTTTTTACATGAGAGAACTCTCTGCAATTGCTAAAAGAATATGTTTAGGTCAAAAGGAATACTGAAAGATCTTTTTTTTCCTATAGCTTGTGAACCTAGAAACTTGCTCTTGGGAATGTGTTTAGCCTAGCATGACTCAACAGTCTAAATGGGTAGCCTAATGTTTGCTTATCTATTATATTGAATTTTTTTTTCAGTGGTCGAAAGGTTAAATTTGTTGTTAAGGTTATCATAATGTCTTTTCCTGCATGACAACATTTCACAAGTTGCTGAATTGACTTAAATTTTCTGAACTATTTTCTTTCAGAGTCAGATGGATGTGCCATTTAAAGTTAAAGTAGGACATATTGGTAAGTTACATTTTATCATGTACCCATGCGGGAGTTTCTAAACATACTGCTTTTCCTTGCAAGTCACTCAGGCATCTTAAGCAAGTTATTTCCTTACTTTCCTTGAATTGCATACTTTGTGTGCTCTGAAGTTTGTCTCTTCTGGAAAAAAACCCTGTTTGATGGCTCCTTTTCTGAGATGGTAAAGTTAAAATATACTGGAGTCTTGTTTAATCACTTCAATGTTAGTGAGAAAAGAGCCCAACACAGCAAAAATTAGCAATTGGGCAGGACTGGATCTCATTCCTTGTCTTAGCAAGACTCCACAACTGATTTTTGCCTTTCACTTCACTTTCCCCCCTCCTTCCTTGTTTTTGCTAAAATGAAAAGTTTTCTCATTCTAAGTTGATTGTCTTGTAAAAGTTAGTGGCTCCTTAAAGCAAACTAAGTGTGAAACCGTTATACTTCCTTCAAATCTACCCTGGAAATATGTATTTCCCAGTGACTGATTTAATATTTTATTAAAATTGGTGCTTGGATGAAGAATGAGAGACACTGTAACCTCAGGATCCCTGTCTTCACAAAACATAGCATTTAAATGACTGATGATGTATGATCTGCCCATGTGCTTTTCTTGTTCCTGAGGGTGGTGCAGTGGATTTGCAAGGAGAGAGAGGTTGCTGTTATGAAGAGGGAATATAATTCTTGGGAGTAAGGAGAGGATCTAGAGACTTGAGAGTTCTGCTCCTGGAAAAACTTGTCTCATGTTTATTTGTGTGTTGTGTAAAAAATAATACAACCTGAAGGACATTGGCCTCAGATGCACTGTTTCTTTTTCTGTCCAGTGTAATAATTGTTCAAAGATTTTGTGTTTAATGTCAATTATATTTCTAATTTTTTTCCCAGTCAACTATTTAACTGTATACCTCAACCTTTTTCTTCTGTGTTTTTAGGTAAACTTAACCTACAGATTCCATGGCAAAACCTTTATACTCAACCTGTTGAAGCAGTTCTTGATGGAGTTTATTTGCTTATTGTGCCCACAGCCAGTAAGTTAATGTAGAGAAAGAAGTGGATATAGATTGCTGGGATTTCATAAATATCTGGAATAGGTTGATGATATTTGAATGAGCTTGATTCCTAGTAGATACTTCTAGCAAATCCAATCAGATAGTGGAATGGATGCCTTTAATTAATTTGCATTTCATCACCTAACTTTTTGCTGTTATGTAACTGTTATGAAAATGTAAAAATTACTGCTTTTGAAACAGAAAGAAACAGAAAGAAAATGTGTTAGGTTTTTTTGGTATTATACTTTTTTACATTGTGCATTTAGGCATAAAATATGATGCTGAAAAAGAAGCCAGGCAGTTCTTGGAAGCAAGACAAAGGGAATTGCAAAGGATAGAGGAAGCAAAGCAGAAGATAGCTAACCAAGGTAAGAGTGGGAAAAGTTAAGAAAGTGATGCTATTTCTTTCTTTATTTTAATCCAGAAAGATGCAGACTTTGTCCAAGTCTTCTAGATTCCTGTTTGGATACTTAAAAAGTTGTTAGTTACAGTTTAGCTGTAACTGCCATTGTTACTGCAGAACTGGGATCCTGAAAATAAAAGGGTTCAGGTCTTGACAAGGTCTAAGAAGAGCTTTTGGAATACTGCTTATTTGTGTCAGATGTTGCCTGACATTTTGTTTCCTCTTCTTTCATAAGAAAAAATTTAACTTTGTTTCCAGTAGCAAAAATTGTTACAATTACAACCTTTTAAACGTTCTGTTTATTTTGGTTTTTGATAAGTCTGCTCTTTAAATTTGACTTTTGGTACTTTTAGGAAATTTTTATTGGCCACCTTGAATATTGGTGGGTGCAAGTCATACTTTTGAACTACCTGGTTCTTCATGCAGCAAGTAATAAAGCTGTGAAACCTTTTAGTCTGAGGATATAAATATTTCAGATTATGCTGAGCAAACATGTTTTTATACAACTAGAGTACAATGGAATAGAAAATCAGACATTTATCATGCAAACTTTATTATGTTATTGTTTTGTCTAGTTCTAAAAATAATGTAAATAAAATATCAAATTATTTTCTTTTAGATAAAGTAAAAGAGGAGACACAAGACACTTTTGTAGAAAAACTAGTTACTCAGGTCATCAAAAATCTTCAGCTGAAAATTTCCAACATCCATATTCGCTATGAAGATGATGTAAGTACTTTTGTATATCTTAGCATAAAGGGTTGTGCAGTCTAACATGAAATTAGGAACCTGTCTGATTTCTTTTCTCCTAGTTGTTTTCCATGTTGAGAGAATCCTAGTAAAGCTGTGGCATTTTCATAGTCTAAAAAAAAAGAAAAAGAAAAAGAAAAACTGATAAAAAGCTCATAACAAAACGTAAAGATACTTAAATTGTTAGTCAACTGTATCTTATAGACTATGAAATAATCCTTTTTTTGTATTTTCCCCCCGCTCCATTAGATCACAAATCGGAATAACCCTTTGTCATTTGGGATTTCACTTCAGAATCTAAGTTTGCAGGTAATTTTATTTTTCATTGTTTATCTAAAAAGCATGTTGATATATACCAGTAGATTAAGTTACATTTTTGTGTGTTATGCGTTCTGGTAACATGCTGTCTAATGAAAGTATACCTATAATCATCAGCAATGCACAATGGTAACTACTTGGCTTATTAAATTCAACATAAATATTGTGGAAGGGGTGCCATTAAAGATAAAGTGCTATCATTACAATAGATGTTCAGGAGGAAATTCTTCTGCCTGCTGCACTTTGTGGTTGCCAATCCACTTTGTTGGATTTGGGCTATTTGGAATCTCTGAATATTTTACTGAAACTGCCTTGAACTTCAAGAAAGGAAGTTAATTCTTGATAACAGGGAGCAGGGGAAAAAAAGAAAAAAAAAAAGTATGACATCTTTTTTTCAAACTGGAGCTCAATTTTCAAACTGCAAGCTCCACTTTGAAATGCTAAGAATAGTCATCACAGACCGTATAAATTTTTTTTTCTGGAAGATTATGTAGTGGAAGCAGTATGCTAATTGTCCTGAGTTGCTCTGATTCAGTAGTTTTTGCTGAGTAACTGATAATCTTAAAGAAAATGTGTCTAAGTAAACGATGGTTGTCTCGTGAATGCTTGTTCCTAGCACATTTAAGGGTTTTCTTTGGGCTCAAGCTAAAATTAATTACTTCAAGAATTATAAAGGCATTCAGTCCCTTGTTTAGCTCTGTCCAAAGAGCATGCCTAAAAATGATATTGGTGTAAAGGAAAACAGTTTGAAGTACTGAAAACAGAATTTTATCGTATCTTTGATTCTTGTGTGCAGCCTGCACATGCACATATTTATTTTTTGTCAGTAGCCTTACAAAGTTTACACTTAAAATAATAGATGAATCACCTTAAATCAGAAGATGGTGTCCCATTATTTTCCATGGGGTTTAATTATGATGATGGTTTGTTTCAGTTATGATAAGATGTTGGTGAATTATAGATATTGGAGTAACTTTGTATAATTTGCATTTCAGACCTCAGATAAGAATTGGAATCCATGTTTACATGATGAAACTGCCAAGTTGTTCTACAAGGTATAGTATAAACTGTATGCTAGAGAAAGAAATGTTTATACAACTAGCTGCATTGGAGTTTCTTCCACAGAATGTAAGACCAAGAAAACATGTAACTGTATAGGCTCTAAAATAAAAGTAACGTTCTGAATATTTTTATTCATCCAGACTTTGTGAAATCCAAATTACTAATCAAGAATTTGTAAGTGTTAATACATATGTCCTGTTGTATTTTCAGCTTGTACGACTGGATAACCTTTTCGCTTACTGGAATGTGCAATCAGAGATGTTTTACCATGGTGGTTTTGATGAATCATTGGTAAGTAAAGCATGAGATAGTGTATCTGGTATTCTGGTTGAATCTGGGAAACACAGGACATGCTTCACATTTAGTTCTGCTTCCATTTGTCAGTATTGTTTGTAAGTAGAAGCATTTTTAGGATAGTACATGCTAAGGCTTTTATGTGATGGAAGTATAACACCTATCTAAGGAAGTTTGAAAAGAGAAAGTCTTTTGCCAGTTACAAAATTTACACAATTTACGGTCATCTTACTACTATTCAGAGATTTTTGTTAACTGAAATTAGACATTCTGTTTAAAACATAGATATACATATTTTGAACTTTATGGTGTGTTGGAAGGATTATCTGAGACCTGTAATAAATTGCTAACACTTTATATTTTAAAACTTTATCTGGAAATAAAAATGCAACTTATTTTTAACTCCATTGTGTGTGTAGGTTAACTTAAAACAGGGAGTTTCCAGCCACAGTGTGATTCCAGAAGGTTATGATTTTGGTAAGTGGTATTTTATTTGTGATACAGGTGCCTAATTCAGAGGTTGCTACTTTGGCTGTTACTCAAAAATCTTAGTAAAGAGTTCAGTTTAGTCCTGTAAGGGTAACAGTCTTTCTGACAGTGAATACTGTACCACATCTGTAGCCTTAAAAAGGCCTTGATAAAAATGAGTCTTGAGTTATGTATTATTCAAGTGGAATGTCATACAAAACCCTTCCATTGATTAATTCCTTTGCTTAAGAAGTTTAGCAATAATATGTATACCATGTAAGTTTTGTGAATCAGATTGGTTTGAGTATGTTTTTGAGGTCACCTGCTTTATGCGAAGTATCTTTTTTCATGAGAGGTGAATATGGTAATCACACAAGTTTGAAACTGTGGTGAATGGCAATTCTACCTCTTTTAGAACAACTCTTTAGTTTGAGACTTTTATAGAAAGATAATGATCACTGAGTCTGATTCTGTCACTTGATGTAAATCAAACATAATACTTACCTATAAGAAGCATAAAAAATGAAGTTTAGGGAGCAAAATACAGAAAGAAAATTAGTAGAAATGCTACCACACACAGTGTTTAGATAAAAGTAGGATAATCCAGGATTTAAAAAAAGCAAAGGTAAATTGGTGTAAATATGGTTTCATCTTGCAAAAATGCATCTTTGAATTGTATGAACCTTTCAGGGAATTTGGAATATTTGTTATGTAGATAGCCTATCATTATCTCTGTTCTTTGAAACAAAGAACATTATCTCTATTCTTTGAAAACAAAGAATTCTGTTTGATAAAAATATGATTTACACAAATGCAAGTAATATGCAAATTCTTATTGTTGGATCAATTGCTGAAACAGATGAAAATATTGAAATAAACATGGCTTTGAATGGCTGATATTGCCAAAATGTGGAACTGATAAAACAATTCTGCTCTGAATACTTTAATATTGTGATGTCTTATTTTGTGTAGGATCCATATTGATTTTTTTCCATGCTTATTTAGGCTTGGATTTAGAAATATGGAATGTTTGGTTTTATCCACTATTGTGAGTATAATTTATCAAACAGAAAATCATTAGTACACAAAAAAAATAATTCTTACAGAATATGAGTTATATATAGTGAAATAAATGCTATGTTTGAAACTGTCTTGTACTATAAATATATCATAGCCAAAAAAATTAGGTTTTTTACAAATATAAACTAGTAATTGAAACATCTTCACGTAATACTGCATACAGAAAAATTTGTGGTAATGTTTTGTAAACATTTGTTTCACAAATGTTGCCAGAGTGAGACTGAAAAATGAGCATAAATTGTATTATATTTTAAGTTATTTTGGACTCCTTCATGTTTTGTAGTCTGGCATTTTATAATTAATAATCTGGCATAATTTAAGATATGTATAATTTATGATGGTTTTAAATAATTTAATTGCACTTTTTATCTCAACTTGTATTTTTTAGTATTCCGCCCAATTTCAGCTAGAGCCAAACTGCTTATGAATCCTCGATCTGATGTTGACTTTTCATCACCAAAAATGGATTTAGATGTAAACTTACAGAATATAACTGTTGAATTCAACAAGCCACAGGTATAAACTATTTTTCTGAAGTTTTATGTAGTGTGGTAAAGAAGTTAGTTTGTGAGAATAAGAAAAGCAGTCTGAAATTTTACAGTGGACATACAGAATCTATTAACTTCTTAGTCTTGTTTTTCTTTGTAACTGATTTGCTCTTGAAAGGGAATCTTGATACATGTTGTTCTCATAAAGATAATAACTCTCAGTTTGAATTTGTTTGCTTAGTACTTCAGTGTTATGGAGCTTCTTGAGTCTATTGATATGATGACTCGAAATCTGCCATACAGAAAATACAGACCTGATGTTCCATTGCACAACAACGCCAAGACATGGTATGCAGTCTCAGACTTAGAAAATAATTTGTTAGTTATTAATTTGAAATTATTACCAAGGAGTTTTTTCTTACTTAAGGGGGTTAGAAGTAATTTCCTTCTGAAATGAAGTCTTCGAAAGGAAGTCTTCACTTTTGTTTTCACTTGTTTTTCTTAAGCTAGTACTATAAAAAATTGATGAGGACCTCAAACCAAAGCTGAGGACACAATACTTGAAAGCCTATGGTTGCTATCTTAAAGGCTGTTATCAGGAACTTGCATCTTACAGTATTTTATACCGTTAACACTATTTTAATGAATGCCCCCCCATTATATGTTAGGTACTATTACAAGAAAATAAATGTAAAAATAGGCCAACTTTTTCAACCTAGATGACAAAAATTTGATTTTAGAAGATTCCTTACAAATATATTTTTATTATTTTCACACATACATGCATAGATTTATGAGTATTTTTCATACACAGTTACCTTTTAATTTTAGAAAAGAGTAACCTGTAAAATCCTTAAGTTCCTCCACTGATCAGAAGTGCAATATTAGACATGAGATTCCACTCTTCACAGCTTGGAGTTGTATTCATTAATAGTCTGCAAAGCTTTGGAAGTCTTTTCTGTATACTCAAAGAAATGTAAGCTATACTTCATTTGTCTTTGCTTTCAGGTGGCAGTATGTTATTTATGGCGTCCTTGAAGTAAATGTTCAACCTAAGCTCCAAATGTGGTCATGGGAACATATTCGACACCACAGGAAGCAAGTGAAAAACTATAAAGAGATGTATAAAACAAAGATAACATCAAGAAAACCTGATGAAGAAATCTTGAAATTGTTGGAGGTTAGTAATTTTCTGTTGAAGGATTTAATAGTGTTCATCTTGATATTTATTTAGAGTTAAATGTTTACATATTTTTAAGTCAGTTCTAATTTAAAACAAAATTTTCAGTGGCCATACTTGTACCTACATCACTACCTTTTTCTGTTAGTGGTATTAACAAACATAGGAGGTAATTTTTTAAATTAGAAACTTCAGGAAAGAAAAACTTGAAGTGATGTGCTTTTCTTTTCCAGGTTTAAGTTTTCAGATTGAGCAAAATAACTTAGGTTGCATAAATTGAATTGTTCACTGTAAAACTGAGCTGTGACATGTAACAAAAGGAAGTTGTCAAAAAATAATTTCTCACCTCTTTTCCAGGAATTAGAAAAGGCCTTGGATATTTTTAACATCACTCTAGCAAGGCAACAAGCAGAAGTTGAGGTAAAATTCCATAATTTAAATTATCCAAGAGTAACTGAAACATGAGGTTTTGGAGATTTCCAGCAGATGGATTTTAGATCTAGTAATTGAGTTGTGTATCATACAGTCTTTCAATTTTCCTAATATTTCATGGTTTCTACTATAAGGCATAGTTACTTTCAGCTTGTAATTATGCAAAAATTAAGTAACTCCATATACTACTTCTTCAGAGTGACTGATCTGGGATAAATTTCCACATGTGATGAGGAAGATCTGCTGTGGAAAATATGGTCAAAATGTGACAGAGGTCAAGTTGGAAGCAATTATATCCAAAGCTCCGTGGTCCCTCCATCCCCCAACAGTAGACTACTAGTTTATTCCTTTCCTTCATGATACCTTATTATGTAGACTGAACATCTGTTGTGTGTTGACTCTTTGCAGTGTTACTATTCAGAATACCACAAATGCAGAAAACATTTAAGTAGATTATCACAATTAGGCAAGATAATGTGACTTGGGTAGTTACACTTAATTTGTTAGCCTCAGTTTTCCTAGGTTAACATACTGCCTAGTTTTCAGTAGTGGCTGAGTATCATTCTAGGACACTGAAGTGAAATCTTTATAAATTTTCTGAAATCTTTCTACATTAATAATCAAGGTAACTAAAAGTAAGTAGACTATGAAGTTTTCAATCTGAAAGTAATAATAGTTAAACTTCACGAATTTCAGTGACTGTTTATGGCAGTGCTTGAAAGCAATTTGATTTTTTTTTGAAGGGTGTGGAGTATATTAAATATGGTGTGAATGCAATTGCTGCAGTAATAGATATTGCGCTTCTAACCCAAAACTCTGAAGACGAATCTGTACATGTGATTTTTCCTTCTGGTGTCATCATTATCCAGACTTTTACAGAAGACATATTCATGACCCTCTCCTTCAGTTGTTTGGCTGAATTGGACTGCTTTTCACAAGGAGGGTTTTTTTCTCTTCTTGTAGTTCTCATTTGATTTTGGAATATTTTTATCCTATACTTTATAGTTTCTTTTGGTTTATCTCTCTCCTCAAACTTTTTGCAAGGTGAGGGAAATCCTGAAGTATTTCCTATCTAGTTTTATTCTTCTTTTCCCCAGTGTGACTATGCTGCTTACGAAAGGTTATGTCATATCGCATTCCTGACTACCTTCAAATCCTGAGATTTAAGATAGGTTTCTGTAATGCTTAGAAGTAGATTGCAAGTGAATGAATTTTCAGTTGTTTGGGCTTTAAGGATTGCATTTGAGAAGCGTTAAAGAGCATCTTAAAAGATCTGCTAGCTGATTATCTAAATATATTTGAAAGTTTTGAAAATCAGGTCATGGTGATTCTACTGTGTTCTGTCTTCACCTATCTGTCAGCACCCATCTGTGTTACTATTATCAGGTCGTACCTCTGAAAAAGGATTCGAAGTACTTAAAAGAGGAAAATCTACTATTAGCTAGGTATCCTGACAGGTTGCCTTGAGTCTGCTAAGTATTTCAAGGAGCACCCTTTAGATATGTGTTGAGTAAAGCCGGATAAATGATCCTGCTGTTTATGAAGCTTTTCTGTTTTTTAAAACCATATCTAAAAGTTGAATTTCAAGGGCTTATTTTCACCTAGATCTTGAAATCAAGCTCACCAGAAATCATATTCGTGATCACAATGCTATCTGATTTTCTGGCAACTTTGTAGCAAGAACTTTATATTGCAAACCTCAAGCCACTTTTTGTTCTTAGCACTAGTGTGCTAAGTACCAGACACTAGCACACCAGTGCTTGCTTTAGTGAGCCAAGCATCAAGTCTCTGTATCAGGTAGCTTGAGATATTTTATGCTTTCAGTCTAGGGAAAACTTTGTAGGTGATTCACCTAAGTAAGAATATAGGATAGAATCATGGAATCATTTAGGTTGGAAAAGACCTTCAACTGTTAACCACGCACTGCCAAGTCCACCAGTAAACCATGTGCCTAAGCACCACATCTGCGTGTCTTTCAAATACCTCCAGAGATGGTGACTCAGCCATCTGTTCCTGTTCCTGTCCTTGGGAACCCTTTCAGTGAAAAAATTTTTCATAATATCCAATCTGAATCTCCCCTGGCACAACTTAAGGCTCTTTCCGCATGTTCTGAATCTCCCCTGGCACAACTTGAGGCTCTTTCCGCATGTTCATCACTTGTTACTGGGGAGAAGAGACTGACCCCCACCTGGCTACACCCTCCTTTCAGATAGTTCTCTCAGTTAGTCAAAATAGTTTACCTTGCTGATTAAACTTGCCACAATCTGCGACTGCATTCATTACTAAACCATTGTAAATGGACAATGGGGAACATCCAAGAGGAGTTCTTCAACAAATCTGTGTAGTTCCCATACTGCACAGATTTTTTTCTTCATCTTTGCAGAAATACAGTTCCCCTGGCTTCTGCCTGTAGTCTTACTTACCCTGGACTCCAGTGCCTGCTGCTGCCTGCTTATGTGGAGCATCACAGCTTTAAACATTATTTCTTTTTCACTGTCGCAGTTGTCCTTCAATACCAACCCCTTGATGTCCCAGAAACCTGTAATTTCACAGGTTCAACAGCCTAAGGCTCTTTTCAGTTTTTCCTTGGACTGTTCACTCTGTAACATCTACTTGATAACTTGGTGACCTTTACAAAGAGGACTTTTGAGGACTTTGTTCAAACTTTTTGAGACTTGATGTTTAACTGACATTCTGCATCATCTCTCTGAGGTGAATCAGTAGTATCAATTGAGAAGCCTCTGTGTTTTTGTGGTGAGTCCTACTTTCTACTGGCCTATAGGTGTATAGATGTGACAGGTCCCTACATAGTTCTGATTTATAGTCGGCTGTTTTCCCTAATTGTGTTGCACAGATCTTGGGGTTTTGAATGCTGAGAAGAGATCCCTGTCTCACTCACTTTAGGTATTGCTTTCACTAGAGTACCTCTAAATTTAGGGCTTATCTGCAACTGTTTGTATCTTTTTGGATCGTATTAGTCATGAAGAAAGTAAGTTTATGTGGTCCAGTACAGTTCTGAGAACCCCTCTGTCTCTTAGATCACTTGATAGTTGTTTGCCATTCCCATGCCAAACTTTTAGTGGATGTAGTTTGCACTTTCTGTGAGGACCAGTATTAGAATCATTGCTGGTATCAGACAGGGCATCCCCTAGTTATGGCAATATTGAATATGGGAGAATGGAGATCTTCCTTACTGTTATACCTGTATGTATCAGATCCAGGAATAGTTTTCTATTTTTCTTAGAGTAAATGCTGTATTACAAGAGTAATTTTTTTTAATTACTTTGCACATCTATCTTGAAATGAAAAATATAGGGCTGATTTAAATTTTGGCCTGTGCTGGCTATTTAATTGCTTATGTATGTATTTTAAATGATTGTTTATAATGCCATTATTGTAATGTAAAGCACTGTATAATGTTGTGGATTTTTTTATGGTGAAAGCTAGAGAGAAAATCTGCTATGTAAAAAAAATTAATTGACCTTTTACATACCCTTTTCATTCTTAAAGGTGTTTGTTATTATGCAAAGTAGGATTGGTCTGATATTACAGTGTATACTTGAAAAAGTTACTAGAAGGAAAACTAAGGAATAACATGTTGCCTTTTTAATTGTTGTCTAATGATGTTTTGATGTGTTAGAGATGTCTTGGGTCTATATTTTCTTTAAGAAAATGAAGAAAAAAGCATGAAGAAAATTACTTACCTGAGTATTTTTTAAATTTAAGGCAACTAAGGCTGGATTAAAAATCTACAGACCAGGAGTAAAACAAGCTGATGAAAATTCTGGTGGCTGGTTTAGTTGGATATGGAACTGGTCAGGTGAAAAAAAGGATGAAAAAAAGCAAGAAATCAAGGGTTCAAGTATGATAATTTATTTGTATTTTTTCTGTTGTTAGAAATGATTTATTAGAATAATAGATCCCTAGCAGTGGAATAGAACTTTGTTTTTATTATCAAATTATTACCTTTTACATTTTCTCTTAGCCTTTTTTTGCTCATGAAGTTCTTAGTTGCATGTAACAGAGGTATCGTACAATTCCTTCAATAATTCTTTCTGAACTGTCTTCAGTATGTGATTTCTTCTGCCACAGTTTTTGTATTTGCATGCACAATGTATGTGTATGGGTATTTGAAGAAAGTGCTAGAAAACAGTAGAACTTAATGGAATGAAAATTGTTTTACTTCCATTCATTTTAAAATTTGTCTATTTCATGCAACGTATTAGACTTTGATTTACTGAAGTGTAGGGCTCCTAGTAATGGTTATGGAACATGGAAAGTAAATCAGAAAGGTTACTTCTGTTGTTAGCAACTTAGTAAATAGAACAGAATAAAAGTATTTTAAAGCATGCTTTAGGATACTCAAGACTTGGCTTTAAACCTCAGTATATTTGCTTTTACTAATTCAGGACAATGTTGACAGTATCTACTGTACATTGTAGAGCTACCAAGGCCTGTAAAGTGCATAACAGTATTTGCATTTTTTAGATACCTGTATTGAGTTTAACTAACCTCTTGAAATGTGACAGGTCTTGAAGAACTGATGACACAGGAAGAAAAGGCTAAACTTTATGCAGCAATTGGATATAGTGAAACAGCTGTGGATCCAACTCTTCCAAAATCAGTAAGTCATGATTGACTATGATGCCAAACAGTTGGTAGTTTTATCTACTAATAAAAACCTAAACGTAGGAAATCACTTTTCAAATTACTTGAAGCTCTGTCTCTACATTTGAATACTCTTCTGATGCTTTTTAATTAAGTTGCTGCATGCTGGCTTTATGCAGAAGACAGCATCATTAGATGCAGTTTCAGGATACTACTTGCATAGCTTACTTTGGATATTCTGAAATACTTCACAGTTAAATTTTGCTTGCCCTAGATAGCATAAAATCATGTATGTAGTGTATTCTTCTTTAAATATTGAAGTGCTTTATAGATCACCTTTAAATATTCAGAAGCTTCTTCACAGAATGTGCTAAGGGATCTTAATAAGGGATAAGAAAATACACTGGAATCTAAAGTATGAGTGATAGTAGAAGAGGTAGAATAAATGATTATATAAGGAAAGAGGTGATTCAAGGACTGTAATGGGGAATAGCAACATTTTGAACCTTTCAGAAATAGTCTGATGTCATCTTAATGTGGGATACCAAGGACAATACAATTGACTGGTTTTTGGCTCTACATCAGAGAGTGTTTATCACAAAATGTTGTGTAGAGACATCAGACATACTTTTGTAAGTCTACTTGTTAGTCTAGCCCTATCTCTTCCTAGTAGCTGTTTGGGAATGACTTTTACACCAGCTATGATACAGACTATTCATAGCATGAGAAAAATAGTTTTGAACTGTTATTTGTAGCTTTCATCTCTTCATAAACTCTATCGAAATGTGTATTAATGTATTTTGTAATCCTATATTGTTTTTTGGCATATATAGTATGAAGCCATGAAGTTCTCTGTGAAGTTACTAAGCATGTCTGTATCCATAAGAGAAAACAGGCAAACTCCTGAGCTGGTAGAATTTGCATTAACTGGCTTGAGTACAGTATTTACCCAACGACCAGGTGCACAAGCAGTAAGGTGAGCTTTCTGTCAAACTGTACTTGTTCCTCATGAAATGCTGATGATGGCTAATAAGCATTTTTAGACTGTTACAGTATTTAAGCTCCATTTTTCACTGTAATTTCTTGTGCAATTTGGGAGTGGAATAATTTTACAATTGATGGATGAATCATGGATACTGTTTCCATGATAGAGTTCTCTGCATCTTCAGAGGTTTTTGTGCCAATATGGATTTACTCCTGTTTTTTCAGTTTGTTATGTGCAAACAATCCAGGTGCCAACTTGTTACTTGCTTTTAAAAGCAACTGTTACTCCTTTTGAAACTTAATCTGAGCAGGGTGATCTTGCAAATGCTTGTGTGTGGGCATTTAACATTACTGAAAAGTTCTTGAATTCTCAATTCACTTTCAGATTAGATTTTAGAAGAAGGCTGTAACTGATGATTTTTGCTTTGTTTTGTGTTCTTACACTGGCAGATGAAACGTATCTACTGAAATATTTTAATTTCATTTCAAATGTAATGACTTAAATATTCTGGGGGAAAGTAGCCTTCCTGTTTTAAATCTTGTGCCCTCTACTTTGAGGCATATTAGTATAATGTATGTATAATATTAAGATACTATTGATCTTTTTTTATAAGTTTTGCATGTGGCTTTTCTGTTTGTACTCTTGTGCATCTAAATGGCCCAAATAAAGTTATTATACTAAGAAAAAGGAAGAAAATATTACATTTTTACAGCGAAACATTTTTCTTTGAGTGTTTGGAGATAAACATCTTCAACTGAGAGCTATTAAAGGGGTGGACAAGGTATTGAAAAAATAAAAAATCCAAGATCTAAAATATACTTCTTGAGAGTAATGAGACTATTTATCTTTGTTTCTTCTATTTCTCTGCACTAGAACTCTTTCGTTTCTGATGTATATCTGTTTTCTAGTATCAATTATACCATGTAATTCTTGAGCTCATACTGCAGAATTCCCATTTTGCCTGTCTCCTTCCTGCCCTGACACCTGTCCTCATGAAAAGTGTATGAAGGGAATAACTTGGACCTCGTTTCTTGTTTAGTCAAGGCTAACAGACAAAAAAGATAATGAAATGGGAAACAGTTAACGCACAGATGTGTGTTTACTCCTTCAACTATTTGTGTTGAAGTTTGGGTAGAGATGTATTGTATTGGGTTTTTTTCAAGCTCATTTCCTATACTCTTACTACCTAATTGTGCCTAGCCAGATGGATATTACATCTAAACAGTCTGTCTACCTTTCTTTACAGATTTGAATCAAAAATTACCTCACTTGAAGTTACAGGCATGTCCCGAGAAAAGTGTACGCCCTGTCTCCTATCTTCTCGAACGGCCTATTCGGATGAGAGTACCTCACTTTTAAGCATAATGTTTGAGACTAATCCTCTGGATGAGAAAGCGGATCAGAAGCTTAGAATAGAATCACAGCCACTGGAAATAGTGTATGATGCAGTAAGTAAATATTGGAATAAGGTATAAATCTTGGAAAATCTTAATAGTAAACTTGCCATGATTTATTTTTCCTTTATTTTAACAGATGACAGTAAATAACTTAGTGGATTTCTTCAGGCCTCCAAAAGATGTAAGCTTAGAGCAACTGACATCAGCAACTCTGATGAAACTTGAAGAGTTCCGTGAAAAAACATCAACAGGCAAGTGCTACACGCTTTCTAGTGACACACTCAGACAAATTTTTCATTCTAGGAGTAAGACAACATTGTATTCTTCCGTATGGAGATGCATGTACCCAAGTTATAGCTTTCTAACACAACACCTAAATAAGTTGAATTATTCAATCTCATTGCAAAGCATTTATTCTAGGTATTGGATATTTTGTGTGTATCTTATTTTAGATTCAACTGTTTCTACTTTGTAAGATATGCTGCATGCCCATAAGACAGTATTTCAGTATTTGTAGTCCATACACAGTTTGTTACTTCTTCAGTTTTGTTCATCTGGTATCTAAGTGTCCTTAATTATTTCCTACTCCTTAAAAACTGATACTAAGATATTAGTCCTCTAAAGTAACCCCTAAATAATTTTCAGAGTTCTTGCTTTTCAGGGCACTATCTACCTTTATATGGTTGTTTTCCATTTTCTGTATTCCTTGATGAATATTGATTTTGATTTGGATTAACTCAGTTCAAGTCACATAAACTATATTTATCTGCCTTCCAGTTGCTCGGCATTAAAGCCATCCCCCTAGTTTTCATTTTATCTCTGGAGAACTTGCATTTTAACACATTAATTAAAAAGTTGAATACTTTGGAAACTAACACTGAGATGTGTAGAATTAATGTGTTCCAGTAAGGATGTGTGAGGCTTTCTAGATCAGAGATATGTCCAGCAGTGTCCTGTCTGTGTGGATGGGAGTGGATGCTAAGGGGAGATTTCATATATAAATTATTTTTTGAAAGAAAAAAAGGCCAAGCAACAAATGCTTTTTTTTAAACCTCATTTAAATTTGTAATGTATTAATATTTGAATTGTAAGTTTAAAAAAATCTGAGTAGTCAAGTGATAAAGAATTTACAGAAAATTCAAGCATAATGTATATTTAATTGATTGCTTTTATCAAGCTGATGTTGGGAGGGAAATTAGGTGTCAGTTGTATTTTTATTCATTAGCTCTTCTTTAACTGAACTGTTTAATTAAGGACTAAAATCGGATTAACCAGTCAAAGTTTTGTGGATCAACTTACTTCTCTTTCAGAAACTTCTTCAGCAATACTAAATATAATGATACCACAATGCATTGCTCTTTCCTGAGATGAATTTGTAAATTTGCTGGATTTAATATGCTTGGTTCTCTGCTCATTACCACCAAATACACTGGTGTTGATCATAATGAAATTTTTTGTGGAAATATGGAATCATGCTCTGTGTTTATTACAGTTTCAGCATATCATTACTTTAGAGGTATACCAAATACTGTTCACACCCTCACAAGAATGCTGATTTGCCTGTGGTAATTTAAAGGCTTGATCCAGTCAAGAAATTTGATGGAATGTCTAAAAATATGTGGCACATTTCTTGTAAAATCTTGTCTGAGACTTAAATATTTCCAGGGCACGAAGATTTGATCTGCAGAATCTTCTGTTGTGGGGTAGACTACACTAGTTGCAGAGGTAGAATAAGAAGAATGGGAATGTATCAACATAGTTAATATGGTCAGACTTGCAATCCTCAGGAATTAATTTTTAACACTTTTCTTTGAGTGGTAGAAGGTAGCTGAAAAATACAGGGGAACTGTGAACTGCAGAAGTGAAGGAACTTGCTACGCCAAAGTAGTTATGATTTTCAGCATTAAAAGATATTATGAAAGTTTGGTTTACCAGAGGTCAATATATGGACTCCACTATATTGTCTTCCCAAGTGAAGGAAAAAAGAAAGTATTTGCTTGAACTTTCTACATCACTCAAATCCAGTTAGGCAGTATCCCAAGTTGTTTTACCTTGCAAATCCTGAAATGTGGTTGTCACCCAGTTCTTCCTTGATTAACCTAAATCTCCTGTGGCAAGATGACCTTTGATAATGTAACAGTTTTAATTGTTTTCTTACCAGTGGATGTGCTGAGTGTCATGTTGTTATCTTCATAATTTATTATCTTTACTGCGATTATCAGCTTGTTGCACATGGTAAATATTTAATGGGTTGTGGCTGCATCATAAGGCAATTTTCAGTACTAACTTGAAGCAAGACCATTAATTCCTCTACAGACAAGCAGAAAAGCAGAATTTGATCTCAAATGTTCTGACAGTCTTAATTTCCCAACTAATTGCATGATTTTTAAGCATAATTTTTGGAAGATAATGTATTATCATTACAAATGATAATAAGATCATTTGTAATGATCTTCAGTGTCTGAAGATGCTTGTCATCATAGTGTTAACTTCTGTATGTCAATAGTAACAACACTAGGAGTTTGACCAGTGCAGCTGGATACTCCCAGTAAGAATTTCTAGAACAATAAAATTTATGAATCTACAGAGCACAGTGGGTTAACTCAGTAATTACAGAGTTGCAGTTCACATTCCAGTTCTTATTTCATCTCTGCTGATTATGGAACTTTTTTGAATTTGTGTATGTTGTGTTGCTTTCTATACTTGTCAGTTAGCATTGTTTGCTAACCATTTCATTTACTTGGTGCTTCTTTAAGGACTGCCTGTAATTATTGGTTCAGAAGAAATCTGAAGATCATCTGTACCTTAGTTATCTAGCATTCATGATTAATTTCAAGTTAGACTTGATTTGCTTTTTATAGCTTTTTTAAATGCTATAGCTTCTGTAGGGATTACTTTGTTTATGTTTACTAATCATACTATTTTTCAGGTTTGATGTATATTATTGAAACCCAGAAAGTTCTTGACCTCAAAATTAACCTCATGGCTTCATACATCATTGTTCCACAGAGAGGATTCTATGATAATACATCAAATTTACTACTTCTGGATCTTGGTAGTGTTAAAGTATGTATTTACCTAATGCGATAATTTACTGAAAATTATAATTCAGCTTTTACATTTGTATTTTATGGTACCAATTAAGTAAAAGTGCCACTTGCTGTTTATGTATTAGTTATTTATTTTAAACTGCTTTCCAGTCAAGGCAGAAATTACTGAACTCTCTTCTGTGCATTCTTTCAACGCAAAAGAATTGTTAGAAAGTGATCATCCTGTAATATGAAACTACTGTTGATGCTTTGAACTGTTACGTGGAAAATATCTAACATTTTTTTGCCTTAGAATATAAAATAGTGAACTTCTTACTTACATGATTAAATGGTATTCTTATTAAATTATTGTTATTATTATTTACCTTTGGTCATTGAGTTTACTTTAAAATGAGAAAAGTAAACATACTGACAATTTTTAAAATAATTTGAGTAAAATTAGAGGTACGTTTGAGATTTCATGCAAGCGAAAAGTCAAAAAGCTAATGATTTATGTAGAATTTATCACTATAACTGTATTTTTAGCAATCTTCTCACTGCTGAATTTGTGTTCTTTCAAGATAAATGATATTGTATGTATGCGGCAATTTCTTTTTTTTTACTTGTAGTCTGGGTAAGACTGATTCTGCTACTTAATACCTGTTTGTATTGCCTTATCTGCTGCTTAAGTAAGAATTTGTTTCAAATCTTAAAATCTTGCTAAAAAGAGTAAATTGGCTCTATCTTTCCAACAGACTGACTTTTGGAGCATGTGGTTTCACTTAGTCATAAAATCATTTGGGTTGGAAGGGACTTTTAAAAGTCGTCTACTCCAACCACCCTGCAATGAGCAGGGACATCGTCAACTAGATTGGGTTCCTCAGAGCCCTGTCCAGTCTGACCTTGAATGTGCCCAGAGATGGGGCATCCACCACCTCTCTGGCCAACTTGTGGCAGTGTATCATCACTCTCATTGTAAGAAAATCCTTCCTTACAGCTAGCCTAAATGTGCCCTCTTTTAGTTTTAAAGCGTTACCCCTCGTCCTATCAGAACAGGTTCTGCTAAAAAGTCTGTCCACATCTTTCTTATAGACCTACTTTGAGTACTGAAAGGCTGCTGTAGGGTCTCATCAGAACCTGCTCTTCCTCAGGCTGAAAAACCACAGCTCTTTCAGCCTTTTTTACACAGGAGAGGTATTCTGTCCCTCTGATCATTTTTGTAGTCCTTCTCTGGACCTGCTTCTGCAGGTTGCAGTACACAGGCAGGGGCTCACAAGAGCAGAGTAGAGGGGCAGAATCACCTCCCTCATCCTGTTGCCCATGCTTCTTTTGATGCAGCCCAGGATGTGATTGGCTTTCTGGGCTGCAAGTGCGCATTGCTGAGTCATGTTGAGCTTTTCATCTGTGAGTACAGCAGGGCAACTCTTGATCCCATCATCACTAGCCTGCATTGATTATAGAACTATAGAATCACTTAGGTTGGAAAAGACCTTTAAGATCCTTGAGTCCAACCATTAGCCCAGCATTGCGAAGTCCACCGCTAATCTGTGTCCCTAAGTGCCATGTCTATGTGGCTTTGAAATACTTCCAAGGATGGTGACTCAGCCACATCCCTGGGCAGCCTCTTGCAATGCTTGCAAGCCTTTCAATGAAGAGATTTTTCTTAAACCTCCCCCAGCACAACTTGAGGCTGTTTCCACATGTTCAGTCATTTATTACTTGGGAAAAGAGGCTGACCCCCACCTGGCTACACTCTCCTTTCAGGTAGTTTTAGGGATAAGGTGTTCCCTCAGCCTCCTTTTCTTCAGACTGAACACCCCCACCTGCCTCAGCCACTTCTCATAGGACTTGTACTCCAGACCTTCCCCAGCTCTACTGCCCCTCTCTGAACACACTTCAACCCCTCAATGTCTTTCTTGCCATAAGGAGCCCAAAATTGAACATAGTATTCAAGGTGCGGCCTCACTAGTGCTGAGTGTAAGGTGATGATCCCTTTTCTAGTCGTGCTGGCCATGCTATTTCTGATACAAGCCACTGACATAGCCACATACGTGCCACTGACTTTCTTGGCTACCTGGGCACACTGCTGGCTCATATTCAGATGGCTTCTGACCAGCTCCACCTACTCACCTCCTCCTGCAGCTGTGTCACTAAGCAGAGGAGTTCCTCTACCTGGGCACAGCTCCCACAGGTGTGCTCACTGCTGCTGTCTGGTGTTGGTGTAAGAGTCGGCACATCCTGGAGGCTGGCACCTGTGAGGCAGCATGTTCCCACTGGAGCTCTGCCTGGTCATCCTGCACCTGTCATGGTGGTGCCATGCATTGATACCAGGGGTCACTCCAACCCAAGTTCAGGACCTTGCAGTAGGCCGTGTTTAGAAAGAACTGTTTCAGAAAGTGGAATTAGCAAAAAACATTGCTGTGTAGATACTAAAAATAAGTGGTCTGGTTGTAAATCCAAGTTATTTCAGTGATTTATAATTTTACCAGCTCTTCTGAATGCTGGTCATTTGTAGGCACTTTGTAGAGGTGGCACTTTGTAGTTACCTGGGTGCTTGAGACAGCCCCCTAGATCTAATAGTCCACCTCCTATTCCACCCATAGAAACTACTCTTTGAATAACACATAGAAGAACATGTTTCAAAATCAGACTTCAGTAAGTGTGTCTGCGATTTTTTTTCTGAAATAGATGAGTAATTTTTGTAGTGAATGTGACTCCTGGATTGGCTGCTGTCCTTTAATAGAAATTAGAAAGCAAGATGAGGGAATTTGGCAATACCATAAGAGAAAATTTAATTACCTCTCAGGATATGATTAGTAATTACGTATTCACTATGAGTGACATATGCTTAAGTGAGACGTGGGTCATTTGTTGAATGATTATGTCTGATACAAAGCCAACAGTCTTTTCCCTTCAGTTGTGTACTGGATGAAATCAAACCCAGGGGGAAATGGCATATAAAATTAAAACTGTTTCTTAATGCAGATACGTAAGATTATTAATCTAGTAATTCTGAATTTTCAATCTGCAAATCATTTTTAGTGTAAAAGTAGTCATAGTTCAGCAGCACTGGAAAAAAATGCTATGTCCTAGATGCTAGTATTTAAACCTGTTTCAATTATCTTGAATATTACCTGGGTCTGACAGAACCAAGTATGAATCCAAAATCATTAGACATTTAAGGTTGAGGACAACCATCAGAGATGAACAGCAGAGAGGGCACATACAAGTGTGAAATACCCAGGAAGTATGGGCATCCCTATGCTGAGTCAAAGGAATATTGATTGATAATAAAGGCAAGACTGATGATGAACAGTCCAAATGCCCTTTTTTTCTGTTTAACTAGTATGCCGCAACTGAATTCAACAGAACTCAGAAATTGATTTCATATTTCAGAATTGATTAATGCAGTAATATTTTTATATATAACAATACTGAACGATTATTCTACTGATTACAGAGGGTTTGAGACTTTACACTTTGGAGTATGAGTCACTTGTTAAAGAAAATGATTTAATGCAAAATATATTGTCTAAAGCTTCACATATTTTAATTCACTTTTTATTTTGTTTCTTTCCTTGAAGAAGAGATAGGGTTTTATGCTCTCTATTTTTCATTTTGATGCAGAATTAGAACTACTAATTCTAGTTCTCCTGTGCTGTGATAGTTGTAAGAGTCTGTGCCCTTGTAGTGAGGAATTAAATTTAATCTTTTATCATGGTAGGAACAAGTGGTTTTAGAATTAGTGCTTTGAATATTTTTGAAATTGATTTATTCTTTTTTTTGTCTTAAGATGACAAGCAAAAATCGTTCTGATTTGTCAGAACTCAAAGTAGGACAAAGCACTATTGAAGATATAATGTCAAGAGCTTATGACAGTTTTGACATCCAACTCAGCAGTATACACTTACTGTACAGCAAACATGGTAAGTATTCATGAAAGTAATCTTTCTTTATATGAATTCTATGGTTGTTGTTGAGCCTCTTGTATTTTTAACTGAAGCAGTGGAGAATCTTTGAAACATGTCTTCCAATGTGTTCTAAACTCAATACTATGAACATGTTATGAATTTCCAAAACATACCTTTAGGGACTCGATTACAATCTTAGCTTTTGCTAAATAAACAGATTTATAATAACATCCTTTATATTTGAAGACATCTAATTTATTTATTGCATAATAAATATAGGACTAATTAGTTTGTCTATGGTATTTTCCTTCAATGCCTTTTCTTTTCTTCCCTAAATTTAGAGCAGAATCCACAAGTAGTTGTAGGTTTGATCATTTTGTAAAGGTAAAGAAAGAATCAGAATCAATTTACTTTGATCAGGTGTCGAAGGAAACTTTGACTAATAGTTTGACAACTAGCAATATAGAGTCAGTTATAATCAGAGAAGTCATAAGCATTTAATTCTTAATCCTTTGGTTCCAGAGTCTCAACTTTCAGTACCATGCATGTTAAGAATCAGACTCTTAGATGGCTGCAGCATAGATGGGGTAACTGTTTAGATGTGAATGGGAGAAATTATTCAGTAGCGTTCTGTGTCTATAATATATATCTGTTGATATATAGACCTGTAAAAGAGATCATGTCACCTGAATTTTTAGCAGTATATACTAATATTAGATACTTTAATTCTGTGCTATGTGTAATGAGAAGATCTTTTCCAATGTTTAAAGTGTAGGTTTCCTTTGTTCTTGTAGATGAGAACTGGCAAGAAGCTCGGAAGCTAAAAAATTCATCTCAATGTATCTTGCAGCCCTTGGATGTAAATATGGAATTTAGCAGGGCTATGGTTGTTACAGATGCAAGAATGCCCAAGTATGTGTTTTTCCCAATTTTGAAATTTTATAGTAAATTACTTTTTTGGGGGGAGGTGAGGGGGAGGGAAAAGTAACAATGTAGTTTTACCTGTGCTATTTAAAATTGGCTAGGTGTGACTCTTGGAAGTAAAATACATGTATGTAGAAAAATGATAATAAAATGAAGACATTTTAATATGTTGAAAAGGTCATAGAATGTTATATTGTTATAAAAGTAAAATGTATAATATATTTAAAGATTTTTATTAAAGATAGTATTGCTTGTTCTAATTGAGTCTTTCGAAGAGCTGCATTTCAGTTCTCATTGGAAATACTGAGGAGCTAAAAATCCCAACTTAGAGTCTCTTTTATAAACATCAAAAAATATTTTGAAAAATAATACTGCCATACTCCCTCTCTTTGACTTGGATTATTCTTCTTGTTTGTTTACATACTAGGGATCACTTCTCAGGGAAACAGCTCTTAATGCATTGAGTTTGCACTTAAACTTACTTAGCAAAATTCTGTTGGTTATGGAAATGTACTCAATTGGAATAAAATGTATAGTACTCTTAATAGTGGTCAATGATTGCGTCGTGTAATGGTGCCATCTTCTGGAAACCTGGGAGGCCACAGTTTTGATGCTTGACTTTACAAAAGATATACTTTCCCTCCTTACTTTTTGTCTGTTTGGTGAAGAAACTCAAATAAGGGAAATGCAATTCACAGGAATCTTTTTATGTTAGAAAATTAGATTTCATTTCTATAGTCATAACAGAATGGCTTTATTTTAATTTTAATGTAGGTTTGTAATCGACATCTATCAAAGTTATGCCAGTGTAACCTGGATTAAGGAGTGTCTGCTCTTAATAAGAACACTGGTTGCCATACTGTAATACTGCCTGTCTGTCTTGGCTACCAGGTGTGCTACTCCTTTTGGCAGTTCCTGTGTCTATACAGATTCTTGGAAATTCTTCCCTGGTGGATATTATTTCTGTATTCCAAACTCTCATACAGCCACTCAATTAACAATAAATAGTTTCTACTTGTGTCTAGAAATTACAAATTTTTCTTCCCCTGGGATAGTTCTATTTCTTGGAGATAAGCTGTTGTTCTTCCTGTACTCTCCACAACTACTAGGAATGCTACAAATAGCAGTTTGGTACAGATAAGTGTATACCATAGTGAGTTAGTAATAAAAGATAATGCTTTAACTTACACCAAGAGCAAGTAGCCATTTCAAATCTAGCATGTTGATACCATGACTCAACAATAGCAGAACATTTTGTACCTAGTCTCCAAATGCTTTCAGAATGTGTTCTGCAGATGGTATTAAAATATTCCAGAGTCATCTATCAGTCTTGAAATGATATGCAGCTTTTTACCTGATGGTGGGAATTAGACCTTTTTTTATATCTCCCAAATCAATTAAAACTAGAAATGTTCCATTTTTTGTTCTAGCTTTGACTACTCAACCCCCCCAAACTTATCAGTATCTGCGTAACTTCAAATGCCAGATCTCTTTTTATCACTGCATGATCTCTTTTTGTTTTTAAGAAAGTTCTGTTGGTGACTGTTTATGTACAGATACTTACGATATTTATGATTCTATGGTTTAGCCCATGTGATCTCTAAATGACATTGTGCACAAATAATAAAAGTTAACTGATAGCTTTTGTTTCAGCAAGAATCACCTAAATTGTAAATTTTAGTATTTGTAATTGAATAAAGTATTATGCATCAGTATTGCTCACATCAATTATGTATATGTAAATGTATTTTTAGTACATGTAGCTATTCCTTTATATTTCAATTTTTACAAGTATACTCTCTTATAAAGCCAGCATTATATTTTTCCAGAGGTTTTTTTATTGATATTTGGAACTATCTGCATAGAACAGCATAGTTCTGTTGAGAAAACTGAGTGGAAAGATATTAGTTCTACAAAAAAAACTAGTACCAGAATTATTTTGTTTAATGTCGTAGATTTTTATGAACGAGTCTTTTAGTTTGGAGGGCACCTGTTTTACATTTAATTATCTAAAAAGAAGGTGATTGGGTAGCTGTATTTTTTTATTCTTTAATGTTTGCACATCCTTGGGTGACCATTGAATTTAGTTGAATTTTTTGTGATATTACTGTTTAAAACAGTAATGAATTTACTGGGGCTTTGTGCTGGCTTTCTTTAGGAAGGCACATTTCTATATTGCTGCCTTGAAGAGAATATTAATTTAGGTAATTCTAATTTAGTAATGACCACTGTATCAAGGGCCTTTCACTGTTAACCTGTGTTTTCATCTACTTTGATCCTTAAAATGGACTTTCACTCTTTGGTTGGATATGAATATCTGACTTTATTTAATTTCTGGTAATAGAAATTACCAAAAGTAATTTCCTTATAGTATCTGTCACTTCACATTTGGAAGCACCAATATGATTCTGTGGTTTTCTAGCCTGTGTCAGGCTTTATTTTTTTTATGTTCATTTTATCATGTCATATGTTTCCCCTGTTTTCTAAAGGAGGTGTCTGAGAGTCTGTCATATAGTTTGAAGGCGTATGAAGCCAGTATTGTGATAGCACTATTAAGAGCATCCTTTCATATAATAGGATTCATTAAAAACACAATAAAAATTCCAATATGAAGGAATGTACCTATTTGCCGCTTTGGCAGTGGCATTAAGATTTCCTTCTCTCTAAATACAACCACACTGAACTGGAAAGAAGTTTCTCAGATTTCCTCATCAATTGAAACACTTAACCTCCTCCATGCCTCAGTCTCTAAAGATGGGGAATAATTTTATTCCAATTCTGGATGTTTTCTGAACCTTAAAAGCTTTTGTTTCAAGAGCAGTGTAGTGAATTGGGATTATTTGCAATTATCTACCTGGTATCTGCTAAGTGCATTCTGTATAACTGCATGGGCTGTCGAAATGCAAAACTTTGTCAAAATGCCTGCACAATATACATGAATTTTTGTAGGGAGATTTAAGTGTGATATAGGTGAGAATTGCTAAGTGTCCTCAGTTGCTGAAGCACTTGAGCAGTAGATGGAGAGGTCATTTCAAACATGGTAGCTACTCATTTACCCCAATCTTCTCTGTTATAAAAAAAAAAAAAAAAAAGGATAATTTTCTCTGACAGAATTGGAATTAAGAATAAAAGTCAAAACTAGTTGCGAATTAATCCTGTAAGAATTTAAGGATGTGAAGAAATTCATAAATTGGAGAAAACTATTTACTTACTGTTGCAGTTTAACGTGTACAAGTTTGGGCTTCGCTTGCTCAAGTATCAGGAGCTGTTTTTTCAGTTACTCTCATAGTCCCAAAATTAGCTGAGGATGATTGAAAATGTGGGGGTTTTTTGTCCTCACATCTTCACCGGTCATATATTATATGTCCCTTTGAAGACAGAGTTATGAGTTAAGCACATCAAAAGTGGGAGGTGTTCCTTACACCCTGTGTGTTAAGCATCTGCTGCTACCTGTGGTTGGAGAAAGTTGATCTGTTAAACCAACCTCTTTATCTCTTCTAACTGGAAGTTGTAATAGAAGCATAAGAATATTATTCGAGCCATTTCTCTGCTTTCTGTTAAACTCACTTGTATGAGAAACTGAATTGGGCTTTAGGTCTTTAAAAAGTTAGTGTCTGTGTTTGAGGTGATTCTTTTTGGCCAAAAGCCTATTCAAATGGGCTTAAAATTTGTTTTACTGTTTTTAAAGACTTATTTTATTCTTTTATATCCTACTTTGCTCTACCATTTAGACTACTGCTAGAGTCAGCTTAAATATACATTTCTTCTGGGAAGTCACTTTTTTTGACATTTGGGCCCTAAACATTCATATACAAAAAAACTCCTCAACCTTCTCTTCTATAAAATACTGTGTAAAGGCTCAGTAATGTAATTTATTGCAAGTACTTAGATTAAATACATAAACAAGAGGCAAAAATTTCAGATTGTGAGGGAAATATGCTTATGTGGCCAAATCACAAGTGGTTATTAGTACTATTTATGTGTGTGTATATGTATATATATATATGTATGTATGTATGTATGTATTATGTGCAATGGTTAGATGAGTGATTTTCTGACCAGGAAGACTTTTGTGTTTCTCGGAAGAAAATTAACATGAAGTTTGAATGAAATAGATTTAAGATTGATTGTTTTAACTTTGAAAGTTTTGACTTTGATTCTTTACAAAACAGGTTCAAACTCTCTGGACAGATGCCTTTACTTTCTATCCAAGTATCAGATCAGAAGCTGACAAGTATCTTGGAGCTAATTGATAGCATTCCTAAACCAAAAAGTGTGCCTGCTACCAGTTCTCCTCCAAAACCAGCTGAGGTAAGGTTTTTAAAAGATATTTCATAAAAAATGATTAGCAAAACACCTTCTTGGTATTTGCAATGCAATTTTGAAAGGAGCACAGGAAAGTGAAGAACAAGCATTTGCTTAGTGCCTCTTGGAAAAGTTAGCTCATTCTTTAGCCAGTTACTATGAAATAGCTGTCCAGTGGCTGGATTTGAAATAAACCCTCCCAGAGTTTTACTGCTGTGGGAATTAATTTGTAGTTCATATTAATCTTGATTAACAAATGTGCTCACTTTTGCTGAGGATTAGCTTAATGGTACCTTCAAATTTACACATGTATCAGAGTGCCGCAGAGTTTGGGTTCAACAAAGAAAACGTTGAAATGTCAGAATTTTTAAAAGTTCAAGTAATAGATGAGAGTTGAAGTTTCAAAAACAAACAAACAAAACATTCACTATCTGCGGCTAGGCAGGCACTGTTTTATAAACAGTGTCTGCCTAGCAAAAGTGGCAGCTTTTTTTCAGCTGACTTCAGTGCTTTTCTCATCTTTCTTTTTTTTTCAGTTACACAACATAACTTAGTGGGTAGAAGTTCTGCCTTGCATTTGTAATGTTTAGGAGTTTGGAGTGTGCTCTCCTTCCTTCCCAACCCCTTTCCCTTAGTGAAAATGATTTGGGTCACTGTTTTATGCTTTCTTCAGAACAGAAGTTTACCCCTTTCGTATTATTCCTGAAAAGTATGTTTTACCTTTTGAGCTGTTTTTAGCAAAACTAGGAAATGAACTTCCAGTTCCTAATTTTTATCATAAATCTAGTCTGTGTGATCTGGTTATATTTTATGTATGTTTAAAGCAGTTCTATCATTAGAAAATATGTCAAATCTCAAGGTCAAAGACAAAATTTGGCTGTCCATTTTTTTGTCATTTGTAAATATTTCCAACATTCTGTTATTTAATCTTCTGTGTACTTGGTTCTAAAGGACTACTGGTCATCTTTGTGTTGGCTTTTTTTTAAGATTATTTGATAATTTGTCTTTCCATCTTTGTAGAAGTTATTCTGCCCTGTTCATGAAGGCAGTCGATGCAGTTTGGCATTTTCTGTGGGTTATGTTAGCATAATATTCAGTAACTGTAAACACAACAACTAGACATGCATATCTATTGAAAGTATATATACAGTGAAGACTGTTTCACTTCGACATGTGGTTCTTGCCATCTTTTCAGTGGTGCCGTTAAAATTTTAGCTAATTCTGACCTGCTCTTTCACCCTTCATATACTACTAGTATACTCAGCCAAAAGCTGCCCTAGTCTCTGTTGTTTTGTGCAACTAATCACAGACAAACTTTGTTTGAGGTAAGTAATGGGACTTTACATAGTTTTTATACATAGACAGAATCTACACATATAAGATGATTATCTTTTGCTTTATAACATTTACTATATTGAATTTAATTATAGAATTCAACTATTAGATCTGAAACATTTTAAGTGATCTTGATGTGGTTAGTATTACCTGTACATTAGTTGTGATTTACAAGATGAGGTGAGGAAAGACTGTGGAGCAAGCATGAATATATTTGCATTGTATGTCAGTCATTGTCAGCTTTGCAAATGCGGGTAAGGCCTTCGAGCCTGCGCAGTGGATTTTTTAGGTGAGACGCAGTGTGTGCTGAACTGAGCCCACCCTTTAATCCTGAGGGTCATCTGCCAGGGCCGAGCGAGCTCGGATGGTGGCAGCGAGGTCCTCAGGACATAGGTTTGATTAGAGTGACCTTCTCTTAGATGGATGGCCTTACAGGGCTAAGTGAGCTCCATCTGCCTGGGTTTAGAGTTGTCCTCCTCTGTGTGCTCTGAGGCTCCCCCTCTTATCTCCTGTGAGGGCACAGACCACGCAGGCGAAGCTCCCTCTGTGCTTAAATATGTCTGCTCAGTCTTCCATCTACCACAGAGCTTGGCAGACTTTAATTGATGGTATTAAGTTCGGTTGAATTGAGTGGATTTTCTGCTTTGGTGGTAGCTTTCATCCCTACAGTTGAAATTCTTCTGAACTTTGTTAGCATCACACCACTTCTGAACTGAAAAGGATGTATCCTTTTTTAGAGTGCTGCATGTGAACTTTGTTCTTTACATTTTGAATTAGTGGTGGAAGTGTTCTTGGGCTGTGACAACAGAAGACTTTTTGAAGTCTGCACTTGTACTTTAGCATGAGACCAGCATGGAAGACTTTATTTTTCATTTTTTGGTATTATGAAGTCAAATGCTACATTTTCTTCTTGTCTTCTTAGAATGTGGAAGCGTTACAGATGAGCAGCTTTCACAAGTTACAAGACTCTTATGTAGTTGATATATTTATTACTTGTGGACATGGGTATATTCAGAAAGGTCAAATTAAGTAGGTTGGAGACTATGAATGAGGCTGTTGAAATGTTATGAGGGAGATGAAAAATGTAACCTTGGGAAGTGTTCAAAGATTAATGTTTCTTGTTGCCATAATGTTTATATTTCTGTAAAATACTGTAATTCTGTGAATAGTTGTCTGACACTAAGCTTTGAAAGGTGCAGTAATAAGGGTGGAGGGAGGGTGATAGTGCAGGGAAAGAGCTGTTGACTGTGCAGTCCAGAGCCAAAGGCACTCCAGAAAAAGGGCACACAGACAGTGCACAGCTCTCTTCTTACTTTAGTATTGTGTGCAAGGCACATGTACGCTACATATGCAGCTGGAACTTGCAGATGAGAATGCTTTATGAACTCAGATCACCAAGACTGCTTCCTGAGACTTGATGGTGAATAAACCATTTGGTTACCCTTACTAAGAGAACTTAATTCTATCATGTATGAAACCAGGTGGAGTGGAGGATTCCTGTACTTTTGTGCACTCTAGTGGCATTTCACATATTGTCAGTTGCTTCGCTGGGTTATGCATAACTGCATCTCACAATTCAAGACTCTTAGAATCATAGAATATGCTGAGTTGGAAAGAACCCACAAGGATCATCAGAGTCCAACTCCTTGCCCTGCATAGGAACACCCCAAGAGTCACCCATGTGCCTGAGAGCATTGTGCAAATGCTCGAACTCTTGAACTTCTTGAACTCTGTCAGACTTAGTGCTTTGACTACTTCCCTGAGAAGCCTGCTTCAATACCCAACCACCCTCTGGATGATAATACCCAACCTAAACTTCCTCTGACCCAGCTTAAGGCTGTTCCCTTGGGTCCTGTCACTGGTCACCAGAGAAAAGAGGTCAGTGGTTGCCCCTCTGCTTCCCTTTGTGAGGAAGTTGTAGACTGCTGTGAGATCTCCCCTCAGTTTCTCTACTAGTGTTTGATTTTTCAGATGTGTGAAGAAGTGAGATTAAAGACAGCAAAATGCTGGGTCCTAAGTTTGGCCATAACAACCCCGTGCAGTGCTACAGACTTGGGGCAGACTGACTGGAAAGTTGTCCATCAGAAAAGGACCTGGGTGTGCTGATCAACAGCAGCTGAACGTGAGCCAGCAGTGTGCCCAGGTGGCATCCTGGCCTGTATCAGAAATAGTGTGGCCAGCAGGACCAGGGCAGTGATCTTCCACCTGTCCTTGACACTGGTGAGGCCACACCTAGAATCCTGTGTTCAGTTTTAGGTCCCTCACTCCCAGAAAGACTGTCTGTCTTTCCTCCCAAGGAAAAAGCGATGGGACAAGAGTAAGTAGACTCAAGTTGCTCCAGGGGAGGCTTAGGTTGGATATTAGGAGAAGTTTCTTTACCAAAAGTATTGTCAAACATTGGAACAGCCTGCCCAGGGATGTGGATGAGTCACCACTCCTGAGCTATTTAAAAGACTTGTAGATGTGGCACTTAATTCTGCCACTAAACCATGTCCCTGGCAGTGCTAGGTTTAATGCTAGTTGGACTTGGTGATCTTGAAGGGTCTTTTCCAACCTAAATGTATCTACGATTCTGTGAAATCAAGAAAGTTTTGTCTGCTCTAATGTTTTGTCTAGCTCTTTTTTCTTTTTTTTCCACCTGGCACTTGTATTGTGTGATTTTTCATATGATGTGCCACTTCTGTCCCTCTTTTGATCTGTGAAGTTGTATGTTTGAACCTCTTCACTGTCTTTCCTGTGTTCTCTCTGTAACTAGATGACAGTGCAATACCTGCTGCTTCTGTCTAATTTAGGTCTCATTTCTCCCCATGTTGGTAATTTCAGTAATGTAAGTGTTTAACTGTAATGATTTGCATTTAAACTTAGACAAGTTTCCCTAAGTGGTAAAACTTTCACAGAGCATATGTGCATGCAATAGCATGACCAATAAATTCAAGCAAAAAATTTTATGGTACCTCCTGTTTCAGGCTGGAATATCCCCTGTGCTTTCAGCACCACATTTATCACAAGGCATGTTTCCTGCTCTGGATCTTCATTCATTTCCTGAGTCAGGTAATATAATCTAATTTAAAGTTTTGCTTAAGAAATAGGTCAAGTCAAGAAGTTTTGGAGCTCATTGAATGAATTTATTACTCTTACTGTAAGCAACCACTTTTGGCTTTGTTTCAAATTCTTGAGGGTTGAATAATGTTATATTGTGTGTAGCTTATTATAATTCACACTATACAAACTATTTGTGTATTTTCTCACAGCAGTAAAATTTTGTATGCTTGTTGTTGTCATTTTCTTTCTGAAGGTAAAACGGTAACATGTTTGTTTGGTATGGTTTGTATGTTTTTGTATTAGCATATGTTGTTGCAAGTCTCTGTTCAGAGCATCTGAAGTAATATTTATGACATTTAGTATGTACTTAGTCCTGTGATGACAGTTTAGATTATTTTCTTCTTATGAAGGAGTTATCTCCTATTTAGTTGGATTTATTTAAATTATAAAATCCTGAAACGATGATTGTTAGAAACTACTACCGTGTTTTAATAAGCAAGCATTTTGAATGAATTTTTCGATTCAAAATAGAAGATTGGCTGTGGAGAAACCACTTGTATTTAGTACTGTTTTGCTGTTCAAAGAGCTTAGCTAGATCCTAACATTTCATCTAGTAGTTACATTTGAAAATAAGCAAATATATCAGTATTATTTCAGTATCAATTATTTTTGTGATGCCAAAACACTCAGCTGGAGAAAAGAGAACAGTACTTCTTCTCCTTTCTCAAGGTAATGATATATGTGGTTTGCAAACACTAGTGAAATTATTAGCAAAGTTAATTTTTATATCTACTTTATAGCTTTAAACTCAGTGTATGTGCAGTATATATAGAAATATGTATTTGTGCATCTTCATTTATTTTTTGTATGAGTTCCTTTGTGTCCAAAGGAAGTGTCTTTCAACTCTTAAAAATGAGGATGAAAGGAGGATGAATGCTGGCAACAAGTAATTTGAGAAAGTAATAACTAGATTTAGATTGAATAAAGTCTGATTTTTAATCTATACTGTACATACAGCTGTACGATCTTTTTAAGTGATTCATGTTATTTCTTGATCTTCACCCTCCAAATTCAGGGATGCTTTCAAGCCTTAGAAAATAGCTCTTCATATAATTTCTTGAGAAGGATACTTTTTCCACAGTTACCTCAAACTTCAGTCTTCATGATTTTTAGGTGACTGACAAGAGCTTTACAGAACAGTGCAATGTATTTGTCTTGTTTATATTTCCATAGTAATGTCAAGTGGATTAAAAGCTTGATAGTCCTTAGGAGTCTCTCCTGAAATGGGAGATCTATAGCAGGGAGAGATCCAAAGTAGTGCCCCTGATATTGAAGCAGAGGCTGCAGCCCTCAGCAGCAGTCAGGCCAGCAGGGGAGATAATCTATTAATATGCACCAAAGGCAAGATGAGCCACAGTTTGTGCTGTCTGTTACACATCCAATAGTGAGAGAATGTTGATAAGGGAATTAGCTGATGAGAACTGAAATTTAAGATGACATGATAGCTGTAGGTGTGGTGTAAAGTTGTGATAGCAGGAGTGGAGGTAATTATAGAAACAGACTTTATTGGTTGCTAATTATGAGCTAGATACTTGGATATTTAAGCTTTTATAGATGTAGGCATAAAAATTCTAAGTCACAGTAATACAAAAATTTTAGGTGTCTAAACTGTGTATGTAATGTTGTTGTAAATTAATCCATAGAATCAGAAGAAGAATTTTATGATGCACTAAGCAGTCCTATGGAAGAAGTGACATTTTTTGAAGCCCCGTCTGGTTCCCTCAAGCAAGCTGGCAGTAGTGCAAGGCAAAAAAGACTACGGAAACAAGAATCTTTGAAAAATATGACAGAATTCCAGCTCAGGTTTGAAGTTGCTGAGGTAAAGTTACTTGTTTTTTTAAAAATCTCTCTGAAGCACATCAGGACTGTAATTTCCCCTATTTGTTGTGTTCATAAATCCATGCCTGCAGAAGTATTCATTCCCCATTTTTTTGCCAAAACTATTGTGCAGAGTTTTTCCCAAGCCACAGTTGTGCTTCTACATCATTTCCATCACTGAAATACTTTGCTTTATCCAGTTTTATCACTGAATTTTCTTTACCTATCACTCAAAAATCACATTATGTATTTGTTTTAGGTAAATATTTAGTTTTTGACATGTTTTTTCTAGATACTGCTGTGTTCACTGGGAAAACTTCATTAATGTTTCCTCTTGTAACAAAAACCATATTTTTCTGCTCCAGTTTTTCCCAGATCCTGTTGTCTGCACAGTTTGTGTAACTGTTACTTTGGTATTACAAGTGTGCATGTTTGAAGTTTTTGTTAAAATAGCGGCAAACAAATTGAGCAATGTTACTTGATGAATTGTTTATTTTTTCCAAGGTGTTTGCTGTATGTATTAATGTATTAATGTGTTAAATGGTCAATACACAAATACACATTAACTGGTAGAATGTATGTAAATATTTTATCCTATATAAAAACTAAGAGAATAATCCCCTACTGGTTTTGGGGGTGTGTTTTTTTTAGGTCTTAGTTAAATTATGCCGTTGTACTGATAATACTGAGATACCTGTGCTACAGCTTGATATTTTGGGCTTGGGCACAGAACTTAAATTAAGAACATTCGACATGACTGCAAATGCTTTCCTTCGTGAAGTTTGTCTGCTGTGCCCAGAGTATATGGGTAAGTGTTTATAGTCTGATCAAAAAATTACTCACAAATAACATTTTGAATTTGTCTTCAAAAAGTCTTGTAGGACTTTTGTCAACTAAGGAAGATTTGCTTTCTAAATTAAATATTGGGGGGGGAAGTAGGAGCTCATTCTCTTATTAGTGCTTTGGTAAATACGTTCTGGTGCTGATGATTTGAGAGACATCTAAGTAGTTTAGGTCTGCAAAAGAGGTTTTGTGATTAAACAGTAATGACAGTTAGTAGCCTAGTTTGTAGTATATAGATTAAGAAAGTTGTAGATTTTTTTTCTTTTAAAAAAAGTAATCTTATTATTTTGTGGTTTTTTTTAAGATGATAACGACAAGCCAGTTTACATAATTACTACATTGGATAATGTAGAAGATGATCTTCTCACTCTAGAGTACATAAAGGTGAGAAAAGAGCAGACTTTGCTTTTGAATTGTAAACCTATCATAAATAGTACAATATTATGGAGTAATTGTTGAAGTTTCTTCTCACTTATTTATGCCTTTAGCATCTTGAGTGTCATGTGCAAAGTTTGTCTGCTTCCTAAACAGAATAACTTGTACATCTTAAGTTGTAGTGGTTTTGAATATAAGTTCTCTCTAATGAAATTTCCAAACTTCTCCTGTTTTCTTTATTTGTTTTGTGTGCACTTTTGATGGAATAGACTGATATTAACGGACCAGAACTCAAAACTACCTATCAGAATGTTCTACAAAAAATAAAGGTATGATGTCTTTTTTTAACATAGTTTTCTCAGAGTGGGGAGACAGGCATATTGAATAAACAAAAGTTGTTCTTCTAGGTGAACTTTTCATCTTTAGATGTTCATTTGCATACTGAAGCTCTGCTGAATGCTATGAACTATCTGAATAATCTTCTACCCAAACAAGAAACTAAAGTTGCAGGAGTCCCTGAAAAAATAGAGGAGAAGAAGGATGTTCTTAAGAAATTAAGTAAGTTTCTTTATTATATTTTTCCTCTTTTCATTCCTTTCTCTTCACTTAAGCAAGAAGAAAATGAATGTATTTTCTAGTTTAGTAAACCTGTTAGTGACTTGATATGAGAAATTTTGCTTGGGATTTATATGCTTATCCATGTGTAGTTTTCTGACACAGAGATTGAGACGTACCTTTGCTGTGTATTCAAGGCACTGAGTAGATGCAAATAAAAAATTCATAAATTGTCATTTTAAAATTTTTTTTCCTGGTATGAATTAAGGCTTTTGGTGGCATTACAGTTGTTTACAGTTGTTTACAGTTGTTTACAGTTGTTTACAGTTGTTACCTTATACTTGAGGAGCATCAGTCTCCTCTTTTGCTTACTGTGCAGTTCAAAGAGACACTAAAATATTAAATCTCCTCTTGGAAAAACTGTAACTTTTATTATTTTGTGTTTCCCACAGCATCAAAAAAATTGAAGTATGAAGATGTTATTGACCTCAATATCTGTGCAGATTTATCGTGTTTGAGTATCTTTATTAGAGAGAAAAAACATAGAATAGCTGAAATTCACATTGAAGGTAGGAGAAAAACTTTAGTCACGAAGATACAGAACTTTGTAACCAGAACAGTCTATAGATTTTGTATATCTTGTTTTTTGAGGTCTGGATAGCCAAGTGATCATGAGGAAAACAGCAACCGAAGTGACTGCAAAATTGAAGAACATCGTTATTTTGGATTCTGATGAGACAGCATTGTATAAAAAGGTATGCATTTGCATTTATTATTGACTTTTTTGAGTGGAATATTGATGCTAAATTGAACTTACTTATGGACTCATCTCTCTGCTGTGACTTTTTTCAATCATGTTTTATGTATTTGGTGGGAGCAGCATTCTCTAGAGACACACTGATTTTGCTCCCACAACCAGTAATTATTAGGCTGACATTAATTTGTGCAACTGTGATACCCAGTAATACCCAGCTGCTCATTACATCTCTTGTTCTGCTGACTTTAATGAACAGAATTATTCAAGCTGAGATTCTAACTGAATATTTTCAGCTATTTCAATAAATTTTTTAAATTTGATTTTTTTTTTCATTTCTTGTTGAGATATTTGAGGTAAAAATGTCATAGGAGTGTGAGGTATTATGTTTATTTCAGAGTTAAGTTTCTTCAGCATGTAAGTTTTTAGAGTAGAGATACTGTATTTTTGTCTTCCTAAGGCTCTGTACATCACAGAAAAAGAAGTCTTCAACTTCAGAATGATATCATATGTGAATGCTACAGATGACATTGCATATTCAAATATGGATGTTGTTGACAATCGTGTTTATCTAACTGTTGGGTGTATTCAAGTACTTTTTGTCAACAAGTTTGTTTCATCTATTTTGGTAAGTTAAATTTCCCAGATACTGTTTCTTAGCATTCAAGTAATATTGTCAGAACCAGAAAAGGATTCTGTATGGAGTGATCACTGCTCTTACCAAATATAATTATAATTTTCCAAATATTTAGTATGTAAATATATATATATATATGCATAGTTTATCATATTTGAGGAAAGATTATCCTATTAAAGGATTTGGAAAAAATGTGTAGGAAAAATAGTCTCTTAAGAATAACTATGATTCTTAGTGGTTTTGAAGTAGTGCAGTTCTTAGTAATTAATTTCCAAGATCTGTATTCTTTTCCTAGGCTTTTATAAATAACTTTCAAGCTGCGAAGGAAGCTCTTACTGAAGCAACTGTTCAAGCAGCAGAGAAAGCAGCTACAGGTGTAAAAGAACGTAGTTCCCGTTTGGCACTAGATATTAACATTAAAGCGCCTGTTGTAATAATTCCACAATCAGCAATGTCTGAGAATGTTCTGGTGGCTGATCTTGGTCTAATCACCGTGAAGAACCAATTCTTTATCGCTGAAACAAGAATGTCTTATAATCTTCCACCTGTTATTGACTCTATGACGGTGAAATTGAGTGAACTAAAGTTATACAGGTAATGTAATGTCAATATTTTTAAAATTCGTTAAATGCTTCTGGGATTCTTCTTCAGACAGAGAGCTTTGAGGAGTTGCTAAATAGTTAGTTAAAGGTTGGTGGTTGACAGATACACTATTATCTTGAAATATAACGGCAAACTAACATTTTTTAAAAGCAATAAAATTGTATGGTTTAGGAAGAATAGCAATCTACATATCTTTAAATAGAAGCAAATGTTTTTATAGGCAAAATTGTTTAGTAGCAATGTGGATAGAGCCTTCCTAAATCTTCGTTCGTGAAGCCTAGCCATGATATGATGTTTAGTAGCATAGACTTATGTATCATTCATTACTTTGGGACAGGTTATACCCATTTGTAACTGGCTATTTCAATGGGATTTTCAGGCTGTGCAGAGCAGGAAAGGTACTAAGTCAGATAGCCATAAAAATCTGTTTGAAAATGGTTGTTGGTGCAGGGATTGGTGAGTGGAGAGGGAAGGGCGAAGGGGCTTTTCAAACACGGTTTGAAGAGTACTGAAGAAAGAAAAAATTGCTCTCCACTGGAGATCAGGTAAGATGTCCTAAATTGCAAGAGTTTATATGCTGTGTGCCTGGTATAGGTGCCTGATGTCTCCTCCCTGACAAAGAAAGATGCCTAGCTGGTGGAGTAAGATATTAACTAGAGCTACTAAGAGTGGTATAAAGACAGTTTCATAGCACTGTTTAAAAACATTAAGGAAGTACAGAAATGTGTTTGTTAGAATGTGTAAGCAAAATATGTAAAGCAGGGAGTATTTTGTTTCTGTTCACAGATCCTGCTATGAGCAAGGTTCTTTGCAAACAGAAGTACAGTTGCTGCAGCCAATCAATCTGGAAGTAGCTGTTGAACGAAATTTAGCTGCCGCGTGGTATAATGAAGTTCCTGATATTGAAATATCTGGCCGACTCAAGGCTATGAATGTAAGCACTCATTTCTGAAGTCAACTGTTATAATGTTTGAGGAAAATGGATTTATTTTTCTCTCCGTTAAAGTCCAAGCTCATTTGTTAGGTTGTTGTTTGATTTCAAGACGTAGATGTAGAGTGGATTTTGTTGCTTGATAGGGGAAAAGGAAGCGAATAGCTTTCTTTTCTAATCTGAGTTCTGTTTCATCTGTGATACTGCAGGGAGACTTTGTACTATAAATTACTATTATTAGTTAAAACATATTTGTGCTGTTATAGCCTTCTTTTACCTGTCAGTATCTTTCAAAGAAGGATTGGAAAAAGTTGGGGTTTATTGGTTTGTTTAATAGCAGCATGAATTCATACCCATGACAAACCTGAATATGAGTTAGTGCATGTGTTCATTTAAATTTAACATTAAAAAATATAAAGGTTGTCAGGTGTATGAGGAAAGCCATTTTACCAGATTTTGAAATAGAACTCATAACTATTAATGTAAACTACTTTGTGACTAAATGCACATAACAGTTTTGGGTGACTGGAAGTCCAACTGCATGTGTACATCTAATGTTCTAGTTTCTAAACTATAGGTTGGTAAAGAAATTTTTTGGATGAAAACAAAATAATGTGTGACTGACTTCTGATTTCTAGAAATTACCATGAAGGTTTTGTGAATTTGAGAAAAACGTTTTACTTGGTCTTTAGTGTCCTAAACAGAGACTCATATGAGATTAATTTAATTTATCTGTTTACTTGTAAACTCACATTTTAGTTATGGAAAGCTACGTGAACTGAGTTGTAATTGTGATTTTAATTCCAATTGTTTTTAAAGCTAATTCTCAGTCAGGAAGATATTACCACAATACTGAGGACACTAAATGAAAATACAGGGGAAAGCTCTGGTGCATCAACATCTTTTCCAGAAGCAAAAGAATCAACTAGATATTGTAGTGATATGCATAGTACTTCACAGCACTCTGCAGGTAATATTTTCTAAAATGACATAGTCTGGCATTTTTAGGTATTATTATCAGTTTATTACTTTTGTTGGAATTGCATTTATATATAAAAGGATGGCAGATTCAGTTGTGTTTAACAATACTGTAGAATCAGTCATTAAAGTTGGAAAAGACCTCCAAGATCATCGAATCCAACCTTTGAGTGAACACCACCACATCAACTAAACCTCAGCACTAAGTGCCAGATCCATGTAATTTCTTGAACACTTCCAGGAATAGTGATTCCACCACCTTCCAGTGAGCAGAAATTCTTCCTGATGTCCAACCTGAACCTCCCCTGGCTCACCTTGAGGCCTGTGTCGTCTTGTCCTATCACTAGTTGCCTGTCAAAAGAGACCAACCCTTGCTACAACTTCCTTTCAAGTAGTTGTAGGGAGTGACAAAACCCGCGAGTTTCCTGTTCTCCAGATTAAACAACCCCAGCTATCTCAACTGCTTCTCATAAGACTTGCGCTCCAGACCCTTCCTTCACCAAGTCTGTTGCCCTTCTCTGGACATGCTGGGGCACCTCAATGTCTTTCTTGTTGTTAAGGGCCGGAACTCGACACAGGATTCAAAGTACAGCCTCTCCTCAAGTGCTGGCTGAGTATCACTTCCCTGGTCCTGCTGACTGTATTATTTTTGATCAAAGCCGCGATGCCACTGGCCTTCATGGACACACTGCTGGCTTATGTTCAGCCACTGTCCACCAGCACTCCCACATCCTTTTCCACTGGGCAGCTTTCCAGTCACTCTTCCCCCCAACCTGTAGCATGGCATGTGGTTGCTGTGACCCAGGGTCAGGACCCACCACGTGGATTTGTTGAACCTCATGCTGTTGGCCTTGATTAATCAATTCAGCTATCCAGATCCTTCTGGAGAGCCTTCCTACTCTCCAGCAGATCATCAAGTCCCACCCAACTTAGTGTCATCTGTGAACTGACTTGATCACCTTGTCCAAATCATCAGTAAAGCTGTTGAAGAGAACTGGTCCTAATACTGAGCCCTGGGGAACTCCACTGGTGACCGGCCACCAATTGGATATAATTCCATATCTGAGGATACCATGGCATTTATGACCACCAGGGCACACTGCTGGCTCATAGGCAGCTCACAGTCCACCAGGATCCCCATGTCCTTCTCCACAGAGCTGCTTTCCAGCATGTTGGCCCCCAACCTGTACTGGTGCCTGCGGTTGTTCCCCAGGAGCAGGACCCTGCACTTGTCTTTACTGAACTTCAGGCAGTTCTCTCCCATTTGTTCAGCTTGTTGAGGTTCTCCTTAAGGACTGCATAGCACTCTGGGGTATCAACCACTCTTCACAGCTTTGTGTCGCCAGTGAACTCACTGAGGAGGCATCTGCCCCTCCAGGTCACTGATGGAGAAATTAAACAATACTGGGCCCAGTATTGAACCTTGGAGAACACCACTAGTGACAGGCCTCCAACTAGATCCTGTGCCACTGATTATGACCCTCTGGGATCTGCTGTTCACCCAGTTCTCAGTCCACCTCACTGTCCACTCATCCAGGCCTCACTTCCCGAGTTTGCCTGTGAGAATCTCGTGAGAGACAGGGTCAAAGGCCTTGCTGAAGTTGAGGTAGACAATATCCACTGCTCTCCCCTCATCCATCAAGGTAGTTGTTTTATCATAGAAGGCAATCAGGTTGGTCAAGTATGATTTCCCTTTAGTGAATCCATGCTGACGACTCCTGATCACTTCCCTGTCATTCATGCAGACAGAGATGGCCTCCAGAATGCAACTCTCCATCACCTGGCCATAATGTGAGGCAGCACTTACAAGTCTGTTGGTTGAATGTGGTAACATCCCAACTTTAGGAAGCTGCCATGGTACTCTTTTTCTTATGTGTGCTGGTTCCATTGCTGTTCAGATTTAGATCTATTTGTCTTGTCATAGTTATGGCACCCCTAAAAGTTCGATACGTCATTGCACATAGACTGTTCAGCACATACTAAATAAAAAGGCAAAGTTAAGAAAAGCAGCTTTCGTTGAATTCCTGTATTAAATGTGAAAAACAGCAAAAATGTGGCAGATGAACAAATAAAGATGAAAGTAAGTTTGTATTCTTTGTAACATTCTGGCAAGGAGTACCATACTACACTAAGGGAAATTGTATATTTATGTCTTAAAGATGGTAAAAATCACATGTAGAATATATAAGGGGAGTGTTTTATATTCTCAAATGCTGTGTGATTTTGTGAAAAGTAATTACAGAAAGCATGATAAACAAATCCTAAGTGAGGATGGATTTACATGTGGAAGAAAAGGGAAATTGTTGTCTTCATGGTCATTAGTGAGGATGTTTTGTTTTGTTTTGCTTTTCTCCTTGTTTGCAGCCAGGTAATTTTCTTTAGTGTTAACTGTTTTTCTGATTTCTGAAAGGTGTAACTGTTGTGACATCAGCTGTTGTGGAATTGCATTCACCTGTACAAATAAAAACAACACTAAAACTGGACTTCAAATTCGACTCTCTGACTTTAGTGTTGTATAGTCCAAATTCAAAACAGGTAAATATTATTTTGGTTACTAAGAGAAAGCAACAGCTTTAAGGTTGCCTGGAGTCCTGGAAATTCTGAACAAGAATAGTTTAATTTATGAGGAGAGAAGGTGTTTTCTAGCAATAGTAACAAATGTGATGGAAATGATAAACAGCTATTTTAGCTAAATCACTTCGCAGATACTACAGGAAAGAGAATAACCAGCATAATACCTGGCATCTTCTGTGACCTGAGTAAAAATTTGATGGAAATTTATCTTAGTTTAAAATACAGTTTGGGAAGAAAAAAATGCAGAGGAACACAGCCTATGCATTAGTTACACATACACATGTGAACACAAACACAAAAATAATTTTTGGGTTTTTTTGTGGAGAGAAATTTTGAATTTGTATTTACAGTAGGAATGCATTTATATTGATCTTGGTTTAAATTTACAGCAGATTTCTGACAAAAGGTAATATTTTATTGTAGACTTATTGGATATTATTTTAGATTATGAACAATTTTCCAGTGTCTGGTTAAACACTGCATAGTCATAAGAGACAAAATTTAATTCTTAATTGATATCTTTGCATACACTATGTGTTTTTACATACAAAGAAACCAAAATTGCATTACTTTCTTGTAAACATTGTCTCTCACTGATGTAAGCTTGCTTTAGAAAGATGGTAGGAGGATAAAGCTTTCTTTAAGTTTTCTCTGTATTTTATTTGTTGTGGTTGTCTTTTGAATGAGTAGTGGACTCATTTAATATATTATTTTTGGAAATTTTATTAGAATAAAACTGTATATCACACCAGTATATTATTTTCCCTACCTGTAATGAAGTCTACAAACATTTGATTTAAACAGGCTACCAGTTTGGATCAGAGAGATGACCTTTTGAAGCTTGCAGAGCTTAAATTAGTTTTGATGTCAGCTGCTCTGAAAATGTTATCAGATGGCTCAATGAATGCTTCAGTCAAACTGACAAATTGTACATTAGATGATAAAAGACAGTCAATCCAGAAGGCTACACCAAGGTCTGTGATTTGACATGAATTACTGTTTACTGGAGTTTGACAAATAGTTAAAAATGTTCCATTTTATTAGTATTCTGTTAAAACTGCTGTTGTTTTAGCGTACCTGTTACTGTAGACTTACATGTGTTACTAGGATTTTGTTCCACATATCTTTATGAGAGACCAATATAAATGCTAATAAATGAATAAATGAAATAAATCGAACTATAAATATGAAATGAATAAATATACATTGAAAAATTTTTGCTTTCTGCTCTAATGAACTTTTAAGTAAGACTAGGATTATTTTTCATGAGTAGTAACAAATGTCAGTGTAGTACTTTTGATATGTGAACAAGGAATTATGATGATTTGATTTGCTAAAGCTATCAACACCCTTAGTTATCAGTGTATGAGAGTCCAGTTAGTTTTAAAATTATATAAAATTTATGTTAATGCTTTAATTGGTCATGTTTTAAAATTACTGGTATTACTTTTTAAATTCACTCTTGTTAATGTATTGAAGCTAGATGAGAATCTTGCATGTTTTTCAGTATTTGTGGCTGTTTTTTTATTATCTCATTAAATGCCACCTTAATTGTCTTTCAGAATGGTGGAAATGAAACATGGATTTGAAAAGAAAGTTATGGTGGATATAAGCTACAAACAGGGGAGAGATGGCACTGTTCTTGATGTGATTGTTCAAGAGATATACCTTTGTGCAAGCATGGAGTTTCTACTTACTGTAGCAGATATATTTCTAAAGGCTAATGCAGAAAGTGCTGCTGCACAGAGAAATCTCAAACAGACATTACCTTTAAAGGACCAAGGTATATACTGGGAATAGTTTAAAATCTGAATTTAAATATCCACGTAATTTTGGCATTGTAATACTATTTAAAAAATACAATACTCATTTTATGTTATTTCCTGTGTTTATGTGTATGGAACAGCTTCTTGTAACTGTGTTGCTTTCTTTGCCTCATGGAAATAGGTTCATGACCTTTGGTCTTTATTTCCAAATGAAACCTTGTCTTACCAGACAAAGGACTACTTAAAGATGCATGTTTAAAATGAAATAAAATAAAATGGAAAAGGACAGTTACAGCTGGCATTCTTTAGGCTTGTTTTCTTTTGTTTATAAGGATGATTATCGCTGTCATCATTTTCATCCTTCTGAAGAGTGATGGACCATATTATATTAGGCTTACACATGAAATCAGCCTGCCTGATACTGCTGCCTAGAAATGTCATTTCACTTGTCCACTGATGCACATTTCTCCCTACATCAGAAGACAGGCTTTTAGGTTGAGTATCTGATATCAAAAATTAGAGCGTAAGAGGAGGAAGTAGGCTTTTTATGCTTCCAGGCCTCAGGTAGTTTGCATCAGGTGGACCAAGCAAGTCCCTGTTTATTTTGGTTTTGTTTTACTGTGCCCTAAATATCTTGGTTGTGTCCACCTCAGCCAGGGCTGTTGTGATTATTTTGATGATGATGAAAATCTAAACAGGTAAGGAAGTTTTATATGAAAGTATATTGTTATTGCAAATGGTTACATCAAACATCAGTAAGTGCTGCATTATTATCCCATGGAAAATGTGGTTTTCCTACTCCAGAGAGTAAAAAATGTGCCCAACACTTTCATAGTTGGCTGATGTAGGTATTGAATAAAACTGATATTCAATATCAACTAATTGTCAGCTGATTATTGTCAGAGACTTTAACAGTGCTGATACTGTCAAAGTCCTTTTGATTTTGACAAAGACGTTTTGTGGAGTCTTTTTTTTTATCTGAAAGTAATTAGGTCTTTAATGGTTTTGTGCCTCCAGCAAAGATCTTAGAAATCCCAGCCAGTTGCAGGGATCTACAGATTTGCTGACACCAGTTATGTTAGATCTTATCACTAAATCTTTAAAACTTCCATGTAAGTTAAAAAGAGATGCAAATGATTAAAATTTAATCTTTGAACAATTAAACTAATGTAATTTATGTTTTTGAAGCACCTGTGCAGCCTGTATCTACCATGGAGATGAACATTGTTATTAAAAATCCAGAGATTGTGTTTGTGGCTGATTTAACAAGAAGTGATGCTCCTGCATTGGTAGCTACAACACAGTGTGAGGTCTTCATTAAAAGTAGCCCTGGAAGGTACAACATGACAGCTGCTGTTAAAGACATACAAATGAAAGCATGCCCATTTATTCCAGAAAAAAGGAATGGGAACATTACTACGGTGAGTTTGCAAACATCCAGTGTGTATCTAAAAGATGCTGTGTAACTTATACAAGCTAAAATACAAGTTATTTCTGAAACTTTCGTTGTTAAAATGTATACCACGGATAGATGAGTAAAATTTTGTGGCTAGCATTTTGTTGATTTTATTCTGTTTTTTTTCTGATATGCCTAAAACATCATCTTTGTCTTGTGGTGTTGATGTTTGCTTTGTATGACAAGCTAAATTGAAGAGCCTCAAGGAGTAAAATGTAAATTATATCTCATATCCTGTGTAAGCCAAATAAATAGAATTTTATAAGTTTACACTATTTCAAATGCAGTATAGTAAATCTGGAATACTTTCAGTCTTTCAGTCTGAAAGTTTGCATCAAGTAGTTATGAAAGAGAATGACAGGGTCACAGAGAGAATGGGAAGTACCTATTATGAAATAGTTTAATTGTGATATGCTGTTCATAAATTCCTTTGTATTAAGGAATTATCTGCTATAGTTGAAGCTGCGTGTTTACATTTTGGCAACAGAATCAGTTACAGGTCAGTTACTGACCAGGTGGAATTGCATTGACTCCTGGAGCTTCTTACAGCTTTTCTGCCTGTACAGCGGAATGTACCTCAGTTAACTCTGTGATGATATTGTTGCATCAGAGAAAAAATTAAAATTGACAGTATATCCAACTGTTAGCCATTACTCAGACCACTGATGAATTTGTGAGTCTTTTTCAGCTTTCTGTTAATGCTTGCTTACTTATGGAGTTAACACTGAAAAGACTAAAGCTATAAGTACAGAGGACTGGGACTCATTTTCAGGTAGAATCGTAGCAGCTGAGTTAACTCCCTAGGTAGAAGTCTTTAATTGCACTGATATGTTAATCTAGTCATTGAGAAAGCGATGCACTTCCATTGATAGCAACAGCACAATGCCACATCACTTGATTTCCATTTCCATAGCTGGCAAATGTGGCATAAATATGGCTTTCTTTTTACAAAGCAATTGGAAGGCTTCACACCAAGCTTTCCCTCTTACAGGAATATCTTCTGCCAGAACCTCATCTCAGACTGTAGAAACAGAGAAAAAGACCTGTATCTGACAGGATGCTTGTGCTATAGATAGGGAAAAAACTTCAGAGGACACTAGTTTAAATACTTAAACAGTACCTTCCTTGAAAGATTCAGAATGTTCTTGAGTGGAATACTTAAAAGAAAAAAAAAAAAAAAGACTTTTGCTGCAGGTAGCCACATAACCACCGTTTTGAAAACATGCATGTAAGCAAACTTAAGAACTCAGGTTTTCTGTAAACAATCCAGTCTGGGAAAGTAATCAGAGGATTAGAGATTCCATGGCTGCCTTTGGTCAAGAAAGGAAAGAAACTAAGTGATATTAGGTTATGTGAAGATTACAAGATTGCTGAAGGGTGGTGTTGATAGTAAGATTTTATATTGCCTATACTTAAGGAAAACATCAGATTGGATGAATTCATCCTTCTGATAACAGAATCATCAAGGTTGGAAGAGACCTTCAAGATTATCTAGTCCAACCATCAAGCCAGCACCACCACAGTCACCCTTAAACCATATCCCTTAGTGCCACATCCAGATGCCAAATAGGTTTCCCCAGATAGACAGGAAACTAGCTTTTGGATATAGAATAGCACAAGTGATGAGATTGTTTCTATGCATTTCTTACATGTGCATTGCTTTAAAGAGGAATATGTTATTTTTCATTCCTGTCTGTAACAAAGAATAAGAAAAAATGTAATTAAAAAATGTAATTTGAGCAAGAGAGTATAAAATAATATTATGGACAACAAATTCTGTTAGCTCAAACTCACTTGGGAAAAGTGTGGTTGAACTGATTCAGGGTGTTTCTACGCCACCGGCGCCTGATTCAGATACAGACTGATGTCATGGAAGACTGCAAAAATCAGTATGGTTTGAAATTACAGTTTTTGAAAGACTTACCTTCTCAGGTAGGGATTCGAGAGCAAATTTTCATGTCAATACAGTGTCAGTAGAGTCTAACTATATCTAAGTGCTCTGTTAATCACATAGCACTGTGATTTTGCTTATAGAGTTACCTTAGATTTGGTAAACTTCGGCAAGTAAAAGCATGCAGGGACTGATTGCAAATAAAGCTGGAACTGGGATTCAAACAGTTATATGTTTATCCAGGAATACTGTATCTGTGTTGTTGATGTGTTGCCCTTAACTGAAAATCTGATTTTCCTCAAAACTCAAAGGCATGATGGTGCAGTGTATTTGAAGACATCTGCAGACTTTACCAAGGAGTGGAGTTACTGAAGTGTAATGCATTTTCCTGTAGCTGACATTTGAATCTTTAATGATTGAGAATGGCTGAGGTGATGCGTCTGGATACTTCTTTTTTTTTTTCTTCATGTTGTTAGTGTTCAGATTGCTCTTAATTTTGAAGAACCAAATAATGGTAACTTTTCCTTTCAGTACTTATATGTATTACTTTAAAGTATATGTTTTTTCAGGTTTTTTTTTCACTATTTAACATGTGTTTTTACTCTTTTGTATAGGTATTACAGCCTTGTGACTTCTTCTTTGAAATGAAACAGTCAGGTACTAATCCACAGACAGCTGATCTAATGATTAAATCTCTAACGTTAAAAGTAGGTAGACCTTAATTGTGATTTTAGTTTTCTGCTATTTCCTGCTCAGCAGCCTATGAAGTTGCTTTTGGCACATGTTTCTTAAAAAAAATAAAATCAGGAGTGACTGATGTGGGGAATTATTTCTGTTCTTCATCAGGTCACCTACCTGTTTAGCATGCCAAAACAAATAAAATTGAAATTGAATAATTGTGTCACTGTGCTTCGCAGCTGGAATCTGTGTTTTATAAAATGGCCTGATGTGGAGATACAAGTTTTGAAGTGTTCAGATAGATCATTGGATGACGCAGTTTAAAAAGGTTCCATCTGGAAATAAGGCAGGGGTTGACAATCTGAACTATATAGCTTGTGGAAGGGAATGCATTTTCAAACAAGAGCCATGTAGAAAATAGAAGTGTTTTGTTAGTGTAACATATTCATTATACTTTTGTGTCTGGAAGCAGCTGTTTCTGTACTAGCTTCTCATTTCCAATTACTCCAATTTTTTTGTAGGTTTCACCAATAATCATAAACACAGTAATTACTATTACATCAGCCCTTTATCAAACTGCAGAAACAACAGAAGAAGAGATTAGTCAAATTCCTCCAGACTTGTGGAATAAGAAAGATATAAAAAGTCTAAACATGTGGTTTCTTGAAGAGACAAATGAAAATGAAGATAAAAACACAACCACTGAACTAGTTCCCACAGGAGAGTCATTGAAAATTAAAATAGAATCTGTTTTTCTAACACTTGAAGCTGGAGTTGGGCACAGAACTGTACCAATGCTTCTTGCCAAATCCTCATTTGTTGGAGAAGTCAAGAACTGGAGTACTCTAATCAACCTACGTTCTTGTCTTGAGCTAGAGGTGAGGAATTCTACAATAAAAAAAAGTTTTCTGAACATGCTAGCCCTATTATCTAAGTGCTATATACATGTTATTTAGACAAGAAAAGTAAAATAACCCATATATTTAATGACTAAATTCCTGCAGATAAGTGTTGTGGGACCATGATGGGAATGATGTTTTAAGATAGTTAAATTAAAATGAAAATCTAATGCATTAGCTGTAATGCATTAATGGAACAGTAAGTGGTGTTATACCATCTCACATTTACAGTTTATACAAGTTCTCAAAAATCTGTTGCATCAGTACTAAATGTTGGAGTAACAACTGGCTAAAACTCTCTGATAATCTTCACTTAAGATTACAGTAGAATATATTCTTATGTAGTTTTTATAGTGGTACCAGTATTCTTCATAAAACATCCAAACTGGCTCATATTTGGAAATTAGTGACGTAAAGTCCAGTGATTGTTGTAGGTAGATTCTTCCTTATTTACAGTGCTTTTGACTTCCAGTGCCTACAGTTTAGGCCAACATTATACTGAAAGTGACGCACCTTTTATTTGGAACTGGGTTTTTGCAGTAGAGACTTATCTGCCTCATTTATTTCTCTAATGCATTTGTTTCAGCTTATGGTGGGAGCTGAAAGTGCACTCTGATTATGAATCTTGTATGTTACCAAAATAATTAATATACTTCTAAATGAGAATTTCTAATTAAACATTTGTATGTAAATTCCTAATTGACTTCTGCATTTTGATAGGTACACTATTTTAATGAGATGTTTGGGGTGTGGGAACCTTTGCTTGAACCGTTAGAAGTTGAGAAGACTGATTTATTCAAGCCATGGATTCTTGAAATCAAGGTATAGTTTCCAAAGCTGAACTCGAATCTTCCATTTCAATCCCTTAGAAAAAACAAATGCTCTGTGCCTTTCATTGCTGAGACTAATCTAACAATTTTATTCCTTCTTGTTGGTTACTTAGACTTTTTTTCCTGATTGGTGAATGAAACCAGCTCTTGTACAAAGGAAGATCCAGACTCACATATCTGTTAAATATTGTCTTTCAGGTGGTGAGATCTGATTCCAGTTGCACTAGATAATCATAATGGCTGGTTTGTCTGTTAGGCCTTATGCAAATGGTGCATTCAGGGACCTTGGAAAGACAAACCATTCCTCTTGTTCCACAGTCGTATGTGTAGCAGAAATGTATTTGAAGAATTGATACCTGTTGACTAGCACAAAGTGTATTATGGGGGTAGTGCACTTACCACTTCATTTTCGTCTTTAATGGAAATAGTTTCTGGATTCAAAATAGATAAGACTTTATCTAAGGACAGAAGGTATCTTTTGTTTTAATTCCTTCTGTCTTAACTGTTTTATTTCATTGTTTTCTGATTTTTTTCAAAACCTTTCAAGTATTTTTAACCTGAGAGATTGCTTAGGATGGAAAACCCACCCTTTCCCTAGGACTGTCATCATCAAACAAATTTCTACAATAATGGCCTCAGAAGGATAAAGGTTATGGACTGAGATGTTGCAGTTAAGAAATTGCTATTAAAAATATTCCCAAGAATTTTCCAGGAAGATATGAGACCTAGTGCAGGAGAAAGGTAGAAGCTAGTGACTCAAACCTCATGTCTTCTTGCCCAGATGTGAAATACAACATTTGAAAACACATAATTTCCAAAAGCGTTGAAGGCTAGAAAAATGTATTCCATTAGATTTTTATTTTTTCCTTCAACCAAATGAAAACGTACAAAATAGGTATTTGATTTGGAAACATATAAAGACTAAATTTGGGGTTATTGTTTTAAGATGAGGAAATAAATTGTGTAAGGTTTTACACTGTGTTATTCGATATGTTAAGTTGAATGTTATCACACAGTATTTACTGGATACATTAGTAGTTAGTATTTAAGTGTATTTTCTTTAATTTTAAATAATCATAAATGTAGCTACTATTACTGAAATTTCATTGACATCCAGAATATATCTTTTGTCTCTTGTCTTATTTATTCTCCCCCTCTTTTACTTTTATTTACAAAAAAAAAAAAAAAAAAAAAAAAAAAAAAAAAAAAGAGAGAACCGTGGCAGGACATAGTAATGGGAAAGGGAGAGATAGAGAGACTTGACGTGAAACTTGCTTATATAGAATGAGTGGTTAGATAAGAATTATTTAAAAATATCCTTTCAGATGAAAAAGGCAAAAAAAGTGCTGCTTGAATCAGATGATGAAGACGAAGAAAACTACAAAGTTCCAGAATATAAAACTGTAATAAATGTTTCCTCAAAAGACCAGCTCAACATTACACTATCCAAGTGTGGACTGCAAATGTTGAGTAACTTGGGCACGGTAAGAAAGATTTCTTAACTATGCCATGTTAGAATTGCTAAATGAATGTTTTCAGAGATCATCTTGATGAAGTCTTATTCAGTGTGTTTATGTTTTGTATTTCTTTTTTGCTTCCTAGGCATTTGCTGAAGCAGCTAGTCAAACTTCAGACATCTTCAAAAAAGACCGAGCACCGTTTGTAATAATAAATTCTTTAGGACTTCCCATAATGGTCTTGCCTAGTGATGCCTTTAGTGTCCTTGATGTTGAATTTGGAGCAAAAATATTTCATTTAAAAGATGGAGAGAATTTAAATATGGAATTTGTTAGAACTAAGAATGAAAGTGACCAGTTCACAGCGATGACAACACTCAGTAGCAAGAGATTTTACATTCAAATCTGTAAGTTACAAAGTTCATACATCTTCTGTTTTTGTAAACACTACATCATGCCTAATACTGTGTCTTATACAGGTCAATAAATATTGGAGGACTCCATAACGTGAAAGGAGTGTTTCTTTGGGTTCTAGATGTGTGGCAGTATTTGAAATCTTACTTTAGTCTTTGCGGCTAGAAGTTATATGTATCATGCTCGTTAATTTTTGCAGCATAAGTTTTCTACCATGATAAATTATTTAGGTAACTAAGTGATATAGTTTGAAGCTGGCTCCTTGCCAAGTTTCCAAACCTTACCACAAGAAGTCTCCCCCCCGCCCCCCCAAACCTCAGGGAGAAGAGGGAGAAAACAACTAAGAAAACCCGAAACGAGAGACAGCTAAAGTGATATATATAAATATATATAAATATATTTACACTTATGTTACAGTTATATACAATTGAAATATATACAATTTCACAAGGGAAAGGGAAGGGGGAAGGGAAAAAGGAACAAAACCAAAATAAAATATATATATATCCCGATTAGTAGCCCAATATCTAACAACTAAAAGAGTTAGCAAAGAAATATCTCACTGCTCTCCTTGGGACAACCGAGAGTCGCTCTGGAATGCTCGCTGGCAACCTCTGTCTCCCAAGGTCGGCAAGGCCTCACCAGGCCTCCCTCTCCAACCCGACAGACTCAACAGCAGGGAACCTGCACCTCCAAAGCTGCCGGAAGGAAAGAGAGGGCGAAGGCCTCTCCTCCTTTCTTCTTATAGCCTGGCTTACGTAAAAATCATAGGGAATACTGGGTAAATCTGGGCACTTCCTTGGTTACAAACTGGTCACCAAGGAAGGCATAGGCCAAACTACCACACTAACCTTTATTGCAATCAAATATTTTTGTTTGCATTTATTTATTATTGCAGAATTAAGCTGCTCAAAATATTTTTTTTTTTTTTGTAGAATTCTGAGCCCTGTATATTTACGTGCTTATAGAAGTTACTCTTAAGGGCGATGTTCTTAAGAAAAGATTGTTTTAAATAGTTTTAAGCAAACCAGAGTTAAAGCTAAAATTAAAATTTAGCTATTTTTAATGGTGTATGTGTTAACAATTTAAATTGATTTATTTTAACAATTTTTCAAACTTGACCATACAATGTGTTAGTTGAATTGTTTTTGCAATATAAGAACTGTACCTTTGTAATAAGCCATTACATCTTGTAAACATTTCTTATGAAGCACTAGCTTTATTTGCAGTAGCAAAACCCACTTAAATATTTGAGTGATGGAGTCATTTACTCCTTCTGTTGTAAAAAAAGAATCTTTGCTGTTTCTGTAGTAACACTGCAAGATCAGCATATTAAGAGTGGTGATTTTACTTTTTCATCTGATTTTTTTTCTTGTTAGATCAAGTGACACAGAGAATTCTGTTGAATGCACATTTTTGTCCTTCAAGTGTATTTTTATGCTCCTTTTGAGTGTTTCATGTCTCATCTTGTAAATCCTAGGTCCACATAATCATTCTACCGTGGAAAAGATTCCATTGACAAAAGTGGGTCGATGTATTTACAGAGTGAGACACGAGGAATCAGGTGTTGAAAGGTCCATTGTCTGCCAAATTGACACTGTTGAAGGAAGCAAGATGATAACTATACGTTCTCCTATTCAGGTTGTTATATATCCATACATTTTAAATTCACACTTACTTTAATTTTTTAATGAATGAAAATGGTCCTGTAGTCTTTAAATAAAAATTAACAGAAGCTGTTTTAAAAATGTACCTGGATGGTTCATATAACTTTGGTTTGTGTATTATAAAGTAGTTTAGAAGAGATTTTCAAGGAAAAAAGCTTTTTCAAAGTGACAGACAGGGGTTGAATGGTGGTGGAAATCAAGCAGATTTTCGATCAGGGTAATTAATCAGTAATGTTTCCTAATACTGGCACTAATTTCAGTCTTGTATAAGTGATCAACTTCTTTTAACCTTATTGTGGTTCCACAAGCTTATCCTTCAATCAGATTATTTTGTTTTCTTCATCCTGTACCATTGATACATTAATTTTAAATTTAGTACGTTGTCAACTGAAAAGCAAGATCTCTGAGTATATTGAGTAGTATTTTTTGATAGACATTATATGGCTTACAGATACAGGGATGATTCAGGTATTAGTGTTCTATAGTGATGGTGTTCCTGTTATATTTCAGTTGCTTTTTTTGCTTGAAGTGGTTTATAGCTTAATTCATGACCAGATTCACTGTTTGATTCTTCTCTAGTTTTTTTTCCAAGAGCTAATAATGTCATTAAATTAACTCTGAAATAAATAAATAATAATGTTTGCAAAGAAGAGAATTACATGCCCTCAAATGATAATTGACATTGATGATTTAACCTTAAACATTTGGCTTCCCATGTGTTTTCTGCCATATGGATTTTTTTAACCCACATACCTTTGTATCTATTACATTTTTAGGAGACTGTTCTTTGGAAACTTATCATAGAGTTCAGATTTACTTGTCTTTGGTTTTTCAGGGTCTTGTGTTTCTCCTTGAAAAGCATTTTACACTTAATATATTTATTTCATAAATAAAATAGAGCATTAAAATGCACAATTAGATAATTTAAAAAGATTTGCTGTTTTCAGAGACAGTTCTTCTGAAATGTGACCTTGAATGGTAGATGGGTAAGATGAAAAAATGAGAGAGCTCTCAAAATACTGCATCTTTCCTAATATATGTTGCTGGATATTTATTTCACACAGATAAGGAATCATTTTTCAATCCCCTTTAATGTTTTTGAGGAAGGAAGATACTTAGGGACTGCTTCACCAGGAAATGAATTCAACATACCCTTTTCCTCTTACAGGTACCTTATTACATTGTTCCTTTATCGGCAAATATGTTTATACATTGTGAATTATTGAATCCATAGAATATGCTAAAAAAATTTTTCTCTTTGCTACCTAATACTGGAATAATACTGTGCTATCATTATTGGGGTAGGATCTTCTCAGGGCATCTAGTCTGAGTTAAACAGAATATTATTTCATTGTTGAATTGGAAATATTTGAAATCCATTTTTCTGAACAAGTTAAATTAGCTAAGTTACTTTAAAAATCTGAGCTCAGGTGCTTCTGGATTGAATAATTTTGTGATTGTTATCCACACAGGACAGATTTTCTTCTTAGTCAGGTGATGTCTAAAGAAGTAGTACAGCTTTTTTTGTTTGTTTTTCTGAAAAGTCTTCTTTTGATTTTGTGATTCTGAAGTAAAATATTGAAACTAATACACTTAAACTCTATTAAAGATGTAGATATTTGTCAACCTTAGAAAAACGTGGCTTACAGCATAGCTATACTATTAGCACATCCATTAACAACTTAAAACAGCAGTGAGTTTTCGTTTACATTTTAACTGAACTGTCACCAAGTTTTAGGTAGGTAGGTTTACTTTGAGGCAGATTTTTTTTATGATAACAGAGACTTTTCCCTTCTGTTTTCCTGCACATATTCTCCTTATTTTTTTCACAACTAAAACCATGTATATTTTTCAGTACTTAAGTTACACTTTACTTAGATTCATTGATTTGTGAATATTTCTAACTATCTATATTTCTTTTAATAAGTTTTAGTGACATTCTGATTCATTGGACAGATGAGTTCCACTAGGCAGTAAGGAAATGTGTCCTAACAAAAAATCTTCAGTCAAGGAGCAGCTGTATTAGATTAAAGCTGTTGCCTTAAAAAAACCACGTGTGTAAATAATCCATAAACTTGATGCTTTATGTGACTGAAAAGAAAGGCACTTTCTGCACATCTGTTATAAGAGTAAGTTGTTTATCCAGACCTTTTGCTTGGAACAGGAATAGAGAAGCACTTGTAAGGATATTCAGTAGCTTCTTCATAAGAATCTCCAACATGCCTTTCTTTTTAAAAGAAGAATTTGGTTGTATGGAACAAAAAAACCTGTAGTGTTACAATAACATGAACTTTTGCGATCCAGTCCACCTTTTGATTCCTCCTTTAATCAAGATAAAGGCAGGGAAAGAATTACTGCTAGAAATTTTCCAAATAATACTAAAATGTTCCTGTTTCATAGTACTTTTTTATAATTGAAAAATTCAATCTCATATTGAGTATCTAAAAATGTTTTCATTTACAGATCCATATTGAGTTTGCAACCACTAACCAATGAAAATGCAGTGAATGGAGAATATGATATGTGTGAAGGAATTACATTTGATGACATTATAAAAAACGTTGACAGTTTGTTACAAAGGAAATGCCAGTCTGTGGGGTCAACTAACCACTCTCTTATCATCAATATTGTTCCTGTAAAAGATTCATTGACATCTTCATGTGCGGAAGATCAGTGGGATTTTCCATATGTTGTTCATTTATGGCCTTCTGTTCTTCTCCACAATCTTCTTCCTTATCTAATAACTTTTTCTGTAGAGGTAATTACTTAATGCTTGAATTTTTTGTTATGTTTTCCACCTATGATATGAAAGTTTACCAGCTGGGTGAAATGGTGAAATGGAGATTAAAAGAGAGGGATTCTGTTAGAGTATTTGTGAACCAAGTTCAGAGATCTTATATGGGCAAGTCTTTCTGCAGAAAGGAAATATTACAGGAGTGTGAAATGTGGTGGTATTAAGTCATACTTCAGTTATATATGCAAAGTAAAACTTAACATTGTATAGGTTTGGGTCTGTGAAAGAGTCACACTGGGTCTGTGAGAGAGTTGCGTAAGTGCAAGTTAAGCCTAATTAAACAGTGTAATTCTTCCTGTGAATTATGACTGCCTCAAGTGACATAAGTGGATCAGCCTATTGGTAGCATTTTATGTGTTGTCACTGACTTTCAGCAGTAGTGTGCTTTTAACAAGTTCTCACACCCCTGCCTTTTTGCCAGGTTTTGGCTAATGCCATACTTTAAATTCTTTCTAGATGAAATTGAACAGTTAGGTGCACTCTGACTCCTGGTAGGCATTCATTCCAGTGCCAGATGAGAGCCAGTCTCAAGTAAAATACTTAAAACATGCAGTGTAGACATTGATTCCTCAGCACTAAACATTTCATTTTGTGAATCTGCTATGAGTATGTCCCACTCCTTACTGATCAGGGTAATAGAAATATTGTTGGGAGACACAGATTTTTTTCAGATGGTATTAATATTTAGTATTTGGACTCAAATAATAGAAACTAATAATAAAACTTTGTCACAAATACACAATTACTAGAACTAGAGACTTTACCCTATTCCAAATGTATGGAAGTAACAGGTTCTTATTTGAATGTCTCTTAAAACTTTAAATTTAGTGAAGGAAATACTGTGTTGAGGAAACTGTCATTTAGGCATATTTGTGTGTTTGAATTTAGTGACAGATGGTGTTAAATATGATGACCATGATGTACTGGAGTTCCCTTTGCAAAATGTTGTATTAAGGTAGTTGTTTAAGAAAGTAACAGTTAAATAGCATAAAAAGTATTTTAAAATTGTGCCTAAATAACTTGTATCTGAATTTTTAAAGCTAACTAGAAAATAGAAGTTGATATGAATTTTACATGTGATTCCTTTAAGTGTACATTGCTCCATTGCTCAGTTTCTTTATTTTTAAAGGGTAATGGGAACAAATATGACACTCTACAAGAAGGAAGTTCAGCACAGATTCATAATGCAGTCTTGGATCAAACAAAACTAGATTTGCAGTTGCTTAACTATCTTGATCAAAATTGGAAGAGTGAGTACCATATAAAAAGCGATCTGCCTGATATCAGCTTCACGACATTTTACTGCATCACGGAGCTGGATAAGACTGAACTGGATATTGCTGTTCATGTGACCTACAGAACTGGGCAGATGGTTATAGCAATTCACAGTCCATACTGGATGGTTAATAAAACTGGTCGAATGTTGCAATACAAAGCTGATGGTATTCACCGCAAGCATCCTCCAGATTACAAAAAACCACTCCTTTTTTCTTTCCAGCCTAAGAACTTCCTCCAAAATAACAAGGTATTGTGTTTTGCAAAACCTGGCAGCTCTGTACTACCTCATGTTGTTGTATGAAAGTATTTTTATACTTTGAAATTTATCTACACTATACTGTGCTCTGTAGAGGGCATGAAACCTACATGATACTTCTGTCTAAAGAGAGTATTTTAAATGAGTGTCTTGTCAGTTATGGTTAAGAAGTTTACATCATCAAAGGTGTTGTTAAGAAAGAGATTTTCACCTTTGAGAGAAATAAAATTCACTGAGAAGTGTTTCCTAAATAAAAGAATTTCTTTTATCCATTTAAACTGCATCAGTAAAGGTCCTTATTCCAAGTAAGACATAGGCCTTGTGTAGGAAGTGTAACGGTGTGGTACTTGAAAAATGAATGCTTGCAGTGGTGGTTGGTAGATTAGTTCTGGGTTTGTAGAATGCTGAGTTATAGATTCATTCACTATTTGCACTTGCTGTGAATTTTTGGATGCTGAAGATCACTGATGGATGAATGATATGAGAGAGATTACAAGAGTGTGTTGATTTGCCTTTGAAGTTTTAGTTGTGGAAAGGATCCTTATGTGGTTGCTTTCACTGGAATGCTGTACACTTATAATGCTTATTCCACATGGCTTATAACTAAGCATGGTAGAAAATACATTTGTGAGATGACACTGGCACTTATGTCTACACTTATCAATAGAAACACCAGTATTTCCAGTATGCACTTATATTTATGTTTATCCATACTTTATATATAATTTTAAATGTTTCAGTGACTGTAAATTGAAAATAAATTCAGGGTTCTTCTTCACAGGTGCAGCTTAGGGTAACGGACAGTGAACTGTCTGATCATTTTTCACTGGACACTGTTGGAAGTCATGGTTCTGTGAAATGCAAGAGTCATAAAAAGGAATATCAAGTATGTTAGATTTATCTTTCAAATTCATAATTTCCAGGAGACATGAATGAAGTAAGAAAAGAACAGTGTACTTCTAACAGTGTCTTTCTTTCCACAGGTTGGTGTCACCATAAACAACAGCAGTTTTAATATTACTAGAATTGTAACTTTCACTCCATTTTTTATGATCTCAAATAGAAGTAAATATACTTTGGAAGTAGCTGAAGAAGGCAAGGAAAAGTGGATTCCCCTTGTTTTACAACAGGTAAACTTATAATGGAAGCTATTCCCAATTTTGTCTCTAAGGAAAAAAAATTGGTTTGAACACTCACTGATAAAAAACATGAACTATTATGCATTCGGTGATAATGTCTGAATATATCATGCTTTTTTCAATAAATTATCCTTGTTCTGTTACCATTTCTTAGTCTTGCATTGGGACATACTGTAAACCTGGTTTGTGTTGTAATTGGAATTTTTTCTCTGTCACCTTGCATCATAAACAATGTCAGAAAAATACCAGTACTATTACTGTATTGTATCTCTGCAGTGGCACTGAAACCTCTGTTCAGTTTAGCAGTGGTATGTGGTAGAGTATTTTGGCTGATCTGGTATACATCAAGCAACTTTATATGGGAAGAAATTCCCTCACGTGAATCAGTTCAGATAGCTCAAAATTCTTCTTCTGGAACTAGTCTCACTGCTGGTTTTTAGTGCTCAGTATGTAGTTTCTAGAGAGGGATCCCTGGCCTCAAGGCCAAGTGTCATGAAAATTAGGTATAGACTGTTGCAGACTGGGTGTGCAGCTTGGCTGTTTGCACTACAGTATCACACAATTATGTTTTGTATGTGTGTTGAGTCTTGGAGCCATCATGCCTTCCTCCAGAATGTGTAGGAAAGGCACTACCTGTTTGGGGTGGCGTTGGAGGTCTCTGAAAGCTGAAAGTGACCAGTACTGCTTTCTGGAAAAGAGTGACCTCTCCCTTCTTCCCAGCACCACCATGTTCACCACTAAACTATGTCCCCAAGTGCCACACCCACAGCACTTCCTGTGATGGTGATTCCACCACTTCCTGAGCAGCCTGTTCCAATGCCAAACCACCCTTTCAGTGAAGAAATTTTTCCTGATATCCGATATAAACTTCCCCTAGTGTAATTTTGAGACTGATTCCTCTGGTCCTGTTGCTTGGAAACCAACCCCCACCTTGCTACAACCTCCTTTCAGGTAGTTGAAGAGAGTGGTAAGGTCCCCTCTGAGCCTTCTTTTCTCCAGACTAAACAATCCCAGCTCCCTCATCTGTTTCTTAAAGGACTGGTGTTCCAGACCCTTCACCAGATCCATTGCCTTTCTTTGGACACGCTCAAGCACCTCAATGTCACCATTGCAAATACTCCAGGTGGTTACTAAAAATGTTTGCAAACCAAAATGCAGAAGTTAAAAGAGCGTTTTCAATCAAAATCTTAAGCAGATATTTTTGTTACATTTTTGGTACCTTCAACACACACTCCTTAAGTATGCCTCTTATCTTTGATGACATGGTCCTTAGAGATGTACCATTTAAATATCATTATTTCAGTTAATGAAATTGTTACATTGTTGTGATTTTTGTTGAATGTACATAAAGATGTTTAGATCTTTAAATGTTGAAGACCATTCAACTTCCCATAACATTTATCATTTTTTTCAAAAATAATGCTCTTACTCAAGAATGGACTGTTTGCCATAAGCCATTTTTTCTATTTCCTAATATTCTTATGTTCCTCTGAGCCAAGTGTTTGTTTGACCTTACATAGTTTTTGTGTTCTTTACGTGCATGATTCCTCATCTAGTTCATTGACAGAGCTCTGAAATTGCAGTAGGTTCATGTGTAGTGGCATGGGCAACATGCCACTATATTCTTACTTATATTTTTTACTCTTAGAAAATATAGTCAGATGGTATTATTTATTGGTGTTTTGTGGTTTGTAGTTGATATAGAGTTGTTATTTGATTAAGCTGAATTATTTATAGGAACTTTTGGAATTTCTGCAAATACTATTCAAAGGTAATAGTTCTGAAAGTTGAAATACATTGCTACTTACATAACCTGTGTGTTTCTCGTGTCGACCCTTTTATTCATATGCCTATAGGATTTTCTAGTTTGTCTCACAAATTTCACTGTTTCTCAGGTGTTTCGTAATTGTACTAATTAATCATAATCTCCTTTCTGTTATAAAGTATCAAGGATAGGCTGTCAATTTTAGGATCACTCCTAATAACTTTTGAAAGATTAGATGTGGCAGTTTACCTAATGGAGCAGTAGAGGTCAATAGAAGAATCTGTATTCCCTTCTAAATCCTCTTTTCATATTGTGTTGATATTTTTCCCTTTGATAGGTAGTCTCTAGAAGTCCATGTTGTGACAAATAGGTCTGCCAGGGTTGTTCATTTGTAACTCAGTGCTCAATCTAATGTCTCTTATTTCTTCTAAATCTAGGTAGCGTAAAGCCATTATTGTTCTATCTTTGGGCATCCAGAACAGATTTCTAGGAACAGGTTTCCATCTGATCCTGAGATAGGGAACTCTGCAATTTTGCTAACCCGAATTATTCTTTTAACTAATGCCTGTGATTTGTTTGAGTATTTCTCACATTACTCTTTTACACTAGGTTGATCTTCAAAAAACCAAGCAGCTTGTTGAAATGTTAATTCATATTTTGGTTTGCTCTTGTTCTTGCTCCCCCTATTCTATTTTTTGTCATTTTAAGTTAAGCAGAGTCCTTCGTGCTGCTTTTCTTTTTTTGTACACTTGTCTTTCTTAGTGACAGATTACCTGTCTTCTCAGAGGAAAAAGCAATCCTTTTGTAGAACCAGTCTTCTCTGGGACATGTTCCCTGTCTGGAAAACAGTAAATCTATCTGAAACTTCAGTCATTATTTTCAGAAAAATCCATTTGTTCTTCAAAAATTGCAGTAGAATTTGTTGGACAGCGATTAGTGTGCAATGGCTTGCCAAGGACTGTCCTTTGAATTAGGTATAATGCAAGACAATTGATAAGCATATATCCTTAAAGAAAGAAAGAAGACATTGCTGAAGACTGTCATAACACCACTACTAAATATAAAGATCCTGTTGTAAAATTGAGATTGTTGAATAAATATAATGTCTAGTGAAGCACTTATCATGTGTGTGGTAAAAGGCTTGAAAACAATATCATTGTGTCATGTTCTGTAGCTAATTAATTTTTCAGTTCTCTGTGGTTGATTCTATAACATCTTGTTTAGCCAATCCTTTATATGTATTTTGGTTTTGATTTTAAACTTTTATTTGCTTTTGGTGGATTCTCCTTGAATTTCCTCTGGGCTTCCTTAATTCCATGTTGAGACTTACTTGCTGTGTTTTATGCTAGGTTTACAACACAATTTAAATTTCCTTTGTCTGTGGGATACATGTTGATGTAAATAAAACACCATTGATCTTACCATTTAACTATATTTTTTCCTTTGTCTTTCTGCTTCCTGTGGTGTGAGAAACAATGGGAAAGGGAACTTAGTGGCATGGTAAGTTGGTGAACTAGTCTTTCACCACTGAAGATTTAGGTCTAGGATTCAGATGCAATTGAATATGAACATCTCATTTCCTAAGCTACGTTGGAGAAAGATGCTTCTGAAATTTTGGATGCTGCACGTCAATGTTTGAAATACAGGAAAACTGGTCTATCTAAACAGACTTTGGCTCTTGCCAGTTGAGAGTTACTGTTAGTCATGTCTTCTTCCCTTGGCATGACTCTATTAATTAGTTGGAAACTTTGCATTAGTTATAATTAAAACTTTTGTGTTCTCTGTCTCATGGTCTCTTCTCCATTTAATGAGTAAACTATTGAAGAGAGATTATCTGTGAGATTGTTAAATCCATAATTGCAGCGATTTCAGTTGTGAATGTGAATAGCAAAACATGCTCTCTGATTTAGCTACTTAATGCTTCATATTTTATTTATACATATTGTATACCCACATATATATGTCTGTATATGCACTTTTAAATATATGTGAAACATTTTTAAAAGAACTGCTAGTAACTGATGTCCTGAGGAGAGTATTTATAGCCCTTTTTGTCATTCATTGTCACTGGAAGATTGATTTGTAATTTATACTTATTTGGAAACAGGTCTGTTAATGGACAAACAGTTTTACAGTTTTGTCTTTTTTTTTTTTTTTTTTGGATGAGCTTGGTATTTTCACTGTTGTAGCTATTTTATACTCTGGATTTTATATACTCTGTCCATTTTAAATGTACTTCTTCATGTGATTATGAAGTCTTACTGTTTCCACTTTTAGCTCCTTAACTCATCACTTTCTTCACTGTAGTTTGAATTATTTCTTGACTTCCTTTTAATTTATTGTGTTCAGATAAGTAATTACTTTTAGGGGTTTTAGTATAGTTTCTGATCCAAATCAATACACTTTCGGGTAAAATTTTAGTAGATGAACTTCGGCCTAAAGTGAATGCCATTTAACATGTAATTTGTTTTCTCACTTTAAAATTTCTGGGTTTTTTTCTAGTGCATTCCTTTTTGGCCTGAAAATGATGCCAACAAACTGCTTGTTAGAGTTGAAAATTCTGATCTCCCCCCAAAGAAGATAAATTTTGATCAGCAAGAAAACTGTCTCCTACTGCATTTAGACAACAAGGTAAAAATGGTTACCTTTGCAAATTAGGTAAAACAGTATAAATCACTGTTTCATTTCCATTCTCAAAACTTTGTTTTCCCATACAATCAAGTATTGCAAAACCTTATCTGAGAAAAAGATTATGTTTACGTAAATGTATTCTTATGCTCTCTTTCCTGTGTGTGTACACACAGATATAAATAGGTATTCTGTTTAAGTGCTTCTCTGGGAAGCAGTTCTATAGAAGCTGAAACACAGATTGTTTTGCAAGTATTGTCACTCTAGAAGTATTGTATAAGTTACTCTGAAAAGTAACTGACTCCACTAAATTTACTTTTATGTTGCAGGTAGTCTCATCTAGTAGTAGTTTTTAAATATGTGAGTGATTTTAGTAGTAGAATGTTTTTGAGGGCATTAATGTGGCAGGAAGAATGTAGCAATGAACCATGGGAGTTGTGGTCTCCCGGGTTCTCAGACAATATTTGATTGTCATTGGTTAGAGGGTCACGTGACATGTTCAGGTGTGGTATTTAAACCTTGGCAGTTTGAATAAACGGTAATTCTGCTCTGGCACCTGTTCGTGTCTGAGTGGGGTTCGTGCCTTGAACAGCACCTCAAATGGCCGTCCGATAAGGGACTTCAGCAGGTTACCGGCAACCAGGAGCAGCAGCTCTGGGGAACCTGTCCGGGGGTGTCCATATCGCCAAAACCAAAAGGAAGAAAAGAAAGAATTCAGCGCGCTGGGTTACCTCTGCAAAAAGGAACAAAAAAGGAAGAAAAAAGGACCAGAAGAAAGGACAACAGAGCTTCAGCACAGAGGTAACCAAAAATTGGCGAATATGGGAGGGTGGTTTACCCGTCAGGAGGGAAATACTCCAAAAATCAAACAAACAGCTGAAGCTATCTCTCAACTTTTACAAGAACAGAGTATAACCATAGAAGAAAGTAAGTTATGGGACTTGTTATATTGGATTTCGTTGCATGAACCTGCACTACCTCTGACTGGACCTTGTCAAGTGTCATCTTGGAGGAAAATAGGGAACAAAATTATTGAAAAAGCCAGTGAGGGAAAAACAGATGCCCTCAAGAATTTGGCTACATGGAAGGACATTATGATAGCCTTGAATAAGCACTACAGAAAGGCAAATGCACCCGGGAGAGTGGACTTCCCCCCCCCTCACTCTTTTCCCCTCAACCCCCCCCTTCAACCCCAGCCCCCCCTTCGACCGAGTGGGGCAGGGGGAGAATGCACGTTGGTCAGGGGGGATGGGGGGGAGGAGGAGCCCTTGGGGGGAACAGTGCAGTGGCAGCGTGTGGTGTGGAGGAGCATGGCCTGGGGGCTGGCAGCATGAGCATGGCAGCGGGGGGCGATGCTGGCTTTATGCCAGCGCCCATGGCTGCAGTTGAGACCATGCCATACAGAGCAGCAAGTGGTGCTGCTGGAGCCGGGGACCGTTACAGAGCAGCGCCTACCCCTGGACCGTTACGGGGCGACCGTTACACAGCAGTTGCACAGTCAACGTGCAGAAGGAGAGTGGCACCGGAGGCACCGCCATGTTGCCCCTCCCGCGCAGCGGAAGTGAGGCCGCCTCCCCCAGGTTCAAGTGTTTCGCCGGGAAGGGGGGAGAATGACTATGATGGACAAATGGACAGCGAGTCTATAGAGGACACAGAAGAGAATCTCCTAGCTCCCTTTAGCCAGGGCGGTCCACTAACACCCTTTGGCTGCGCAGCAGCCATGAGACCACTGCAGAACAACCACGCAGCAACATGGACACAGCAAGCTTACTCTGACCGTGAGGCGGAAGTGAAAGTGCCTCTTCCGTCACCACCAGTTCAACCAACTCACAACAAATGCACAACAGTTAAAGCATCACTGTGGCTCTCCTACCCAGAAACCAACCCACAGCCCTCACCAGCCTCAAAACAGCTTCTATACCGAAGATGGCCTGATGGAGGAGGAAGAAGAGATATTGACTCCCTAGAAAGTTTAGCTGATCTGTGGCAAACTGAACTCAGCGAGACAAGAGAACCAGAAAAAGGACAAGCAGTTTTGAATCCTGCAAAAGAGGAAGAACAGCAAACATGGCTACAGCTACTATTTCAGCTCGAGGAAGAAGATGCAGACTGGGAAAGCACACAGAACATCTGCCTACCCAAGCCCAGACCATCAGCAAAGTCAAAGCTACCGACATTGAAGTGGACTGCACGTGTACTGACTGTGTTGCTGGCGATTACAGCTGTTGGTTTTGTACTGCGAGAATTTCAGCTGGGAGAACACCATCCACCTCCTGACAGAACCAACAACCTAGAGGTAACATTGCAAAACACAGCAGACATACAGCTCTCAACTACCATGTTTGATTTTCTAAGTCACAAAAGGACAACTTTACTAATTGACAGATTATCTGCTATTATAAAAAGTTCTTTTGTGTTCCAGGGGGTAAGAATAATAATAAGAGGGGCCCCAAATCAAGTATTTACTTCTCACTATTTTAAAATGCTGTTGGACAATATGCCATACACAACATGGAAAGCCAAACTTAAACAAGTAGCAAACAGACAACCAGTTACAATTTCAACTGCAGAAACACATAACTCTTTATACACAGTCACTGCAAGAGCCTTGAGAAAGTAAAACAAACAAAACCCTCATACAACACAAGCCCAAAGATGCTCCACAAAGTTGCAACATACAACAATACACACCTCTAAATCCACTCAAAATACAAACATGCAAAGATACCACTGGACAGTACTGCCTCAGGGCATGAAAAACAGCCCGATGATTTGTCAAACAGTGGTAGCCAACATCATACACCCTGTTCGAAAACTCCACCCTTCAGCCATCATCTATCATTATATAGATGACATCCTGATAGCAGCAAAACACGGGACCGAACTACAATCCACCTTGACTGCCTTAACTGACGCCATCCAAAAAGCAGGTCTGCAGCTTGCCCCAGAAAAAATTCAACGCACCCAACCTTGGACCTACCTCGGATGGAGGATCACTCAACAGGAAATCATGCCACAACCACTGACTTTCAAAGTAACGGACACTATGACCCTGAATGATTTGCAATGGCTTTTAGGAGCCATTAACTGGCTGAGGCCTGTCTTGGGGATCACAACAGAGGAATTGCACCCCCTCTTCGAGCTACTTAAAGGTGACCCAACTCTCACATCTATTCGATCCCTAACCCCAGAAGCAAGACAAGCTCTGGAAGTATGCTCCCAAGCTGTTGAAAACAGGCAAAGCAGACGACGACACCCTGACCTGTACATTCGCCTCGCCATCATATCCAGCAAGTTCCAACCTTTTGCCGTCCTTTTCCAATGGGATCAGGCAGAATCCGACCCTTTGAGAATTCTAGAATGGTTATTTCTTCCCCACTCTCCACCTAAGACTGTTTGGACCATTAATGACATGCTTGCTAAGCTCATCATGAAGGGTAGAGGACGTCTGCAGGAGATGGATGGAAGGGATCCTGAGACGATCTACATTCCAGCCACAAAAGACAACTTAGACTGGCTTCTTGCAGAGGATGCTGGGTTTCAGACTGCATTAGCGGACTTCCACGGTAATATTTCCATTCGCTTCCCAAAACATAAACTCTGGGCAGAAATAGGAAATCTACCCCTGATGGCCACGCGTCGCTGCAAACTACGACCAGTAAATGGAATCACAGTCTTCACTGACGCGTCTAGACGATCGAAAAAAGCCGTCGTGACATGGAAGAACCCTGCCACAGGACAATGGGACAATAAGGTACAAACCTTGGACCAAGGTTCTGTACAGGTTTTAGAACTAGCAGCTATCCGCATGGCATTTGAATTGTTCCATGATCAACCTATGAATGTTGTCACAGATTCTCACTATGCAGCAGGGTTGGTCTCACATCTCGAAGCCTCCTTCCTTCGAGATGTCACTAATCCTCACTTATTCACAGAAATTCGTACCATATGGTTTCTTATCAACCACAGAAAATTTGATTTTTACATAATGCGCACTCGGTCACCCACAGAACTTCCAGGACCCATAGCAGAGGGCAATCAAAAAGCTGATGCAACTGCTATGGTAACTACAGTTCCCAAAATTCTGGAACAGGCTAAACTCTCACACCAGTTCTTCCACCAAAATGCACGTTCATTAAAGAGACAATTCCAAATTACAATAAACCAGGCCAGAGACATAATTATGTCATGCTCTGACTGCCAGCGAATTACCCCAATGCCAGCTAAGGAAGGGGTTAATCCCAGAGGCATAACAGCCAATGAAATCTGGCAGACAGACGTTACACATATAGCTGAATTCGGTAAACTAAAATATGTCCATGTTACAGTAGACACACATTCCAGATACATTAATGCAACAGCACACACGGGAGAAAAAACCAAAGACGTTATCATACACTGGCTCAGTTGTTTTGCAATCCTAGGAATTCCAAAAACCATAAAAACTGACAATGGCCCTGCTTATTGTTCTGAAAAAATCAAAACATTTCTCACAGATTGGGGGGTAGTTCATTCCATAGGTATACCGCACTCACCCACAGGACAAGCGATTGTAGAAAGAGCTCACCGTACACTAAAAGAAATGCTTCAAAGACAAAAAAGAGGGGAGTCGGTATATAGCCCCCAGGAACGCTTGTGGAAAGCGTCATATGTTCTAAATTTCTTAAACTGTGATGATACAGACCATAGCAGGTATGAAAGCCAACATAAAACTCAAATACTTTCATCTTCCAAACCACCAGTTATGATCAAAGATCTAATATCTGGGCAATGGTCAGGACCGGTAGATCTCATAACATGGGGAAGGGGATATGCCTGTGTATCCAAGGGTACCAAATTGCAATGGGTCCCTTCTAGATGTGTCAGGCCTTATATTAGCCCTCCACCACAACAGGAACAACCACCAGAAGAAATAAGTGAAGGATTTGGATTAGAAGAAACATGACCAACAAGAGTAAAGACATCACACAGTGGGGAAAAAGAAAAAAAAAAAAAGGGGGGGAAAGAGATATGGGTCTGTTCCCTATGTGTGTAAATCTACATTAACATTTCCTTAAAACAGGGATAATCACAAAGAAGCAATAAATGATACAACAGAACCAAAAGAAACATATAAACAGTAACCAATGCAGAACCAAAAGAAACACATAAACAGTAACCAATACAAAACCAAAAGAAACATATAAACAGTAACCAATACAGAACCAAACCTCCATGAGTCAAACACAATAAGGGTTTAAGAGTGCGTGTGTAAGGAGAGAATGAAACGGTGGCCACCGGAGTATGAATGAGAAAGTTGAGTGGACGCATGTATGTGTGTGTGAACGCAAGTACACTTTATAGCAAGACGTCTTAAACACTACTTCAAACAACACCACGTCAGACACAACATCTACAACCCAACACATTTCCCTTTTTAAATAAAGATGATGCCATTACACAAAGTCACCCTCAGATAAAAGGTTATCCACACCTACAAACCCTGGGTAATTTGAGATTGTTTGAATATTGCACGAACCAATAAAGTTGTAAACAGTTCAATAAAGGCCTTGTGACGATAGGCCCTGTTTTTTATAATTAGTTGAAATAAGATTGGTTATAATAAGAATGTTAAAAATGTATTGTTTCTCAACTTGTTAATAAAAAGAAGGGGGAGATGTGGCAGGAAGAATGTAGCAATGAACCATGGGAGTTGTGGTCTCCCGGGTTCTCAGACAATATTTGATTGTCATTGGTTAGAGGGTCACGTGACATGTTCAGGTGTGGTATTTAAACCTTGGCAGTTTGAATAAACGGTAATTCTGCTCTGGCACCTGTTCGTGTCTGAGTGGGGTTCGTGCCTTGAACAGCACCTCACATTAATGCATATGATTCTATAAGGAAGGTTCCTCTACTACTAGCCTGAATTTTCACAGTACGGAACTTGTGCAGTTTTGCTTACTAAGTGAAATAATTGTTAACTAGTAGTTAGATCAAGGAAATATTTTGAAGATAAGGTAAAATGGCTTGTTTGTTTTACTATTTGATGGTTTTATCTTACGAGAGTAAAAGTTTTTCAAAACATTTAAATTACATTTGGTTTGCTGGAAATCCATTCCATTGTTACTTACCTAGTAATTTTTACAACTGATAGCTTGGAGGAATTACAGTGGATGTTAACCTGACTGAACATTCTACAGTGATTACCTTTTCTGATTACCATGATGGCGCAGCTCCATTTCTGTTGATAAACCATACTAACGACGAAATTATTGAGTATGGACAAAGGTATGTATGAAGAGTTTTAGTACAGATGTCTGCATAGAGATATGTGAGTTGTAACTTCATGTATTGTAAGCATGCCCATCTCTTAAGAAACCTGTTTTTATCTCTTAAGAAACCTATTTTTTTAAAAAATGGCTGTCTAATTTTGTCAGAGCACCCAAAAATCTCTTGCTTGGTAAGTTGAAGGTAATGTATTGTTAGCAGTGTTATGTTGTGCTAGGTGGTTGTACGAGTAAATAACCTATTTTGTGAGCTAAAGAAGCTCTCTGATGTCTTGTTTGAATTTTGTGGCCTTGCTTTCTACATTCCTGGTGAGGGCAAAGAATTGTGTTTGGCTTTTCTGGACCTGTGTGGGTGCTGACTGTGCAGATTAAGTAAAAAGTGAGCTATGAATGCAGTGCTGACAAGAGTAAGCATACCAACAGGATTCTTGAACTGTTTCTTTTTAAAAGCCAAACAGTCTCTAGCTTTTTTCCCTTTCAGTCAGTCAGGGTAATGTTGTTTAAAGATTTTTACTTGAAAAGTGGAAGACCTGCTGGTCAAATCCTGTTTGTTTCCTGTTTGTCTGAAAAATACAGTTGTTTGCTTTGGCTTTTATCTATAAAGACTAGAAATTTTTATCTTCCTAGCTGAATTTTGGGCATCCTTATCATAAATTTAATGAGAATAGAGTAGCATATTTCAGTTCCAAAAGTAAAAGCATGTTATTAAGGGCTTTGCTGAATGATGGGCTTGGGACATTGACTCTAAAGGAAACCTGTTCTTATGCATTTTACCATTCTTACAGTAAAGAAAAGCTTCCTAATGTCTAGTCTAAACCTCCCGTGGCACAGCTTTGAACCATTCCTATGTGTCCAATCACTGGATCCCAGCAAGAAGAGATCAGCACCCTTCCACTACCTCTCCTGGGGTAGCCCCCTTTTAGACATCAGTAGAAGACAAGTCTGCCAGTTTTTAACTGTATGTGAGGGGAAATGGATTTTAAAATATGTTTGCACGAAAATATCCAGATACTAAACACTGCACTTCTTTCTCTTCAGCAAATCATAGGGGGAAACTTTTCCTAAACAATGAATTTTGAACCCACATTTCTTATCTTGAAATATTAATGGTAGGCGACACAAATCCTGAGTTTTCCTTTCAGTGTTTAAACTCTACTGTCTGGAATTTTTTTCTACTTTATTTTTCCCCGTTAATCAAAGTGGGAAAGAAAATGAGTATTTAAAGTCTACTGTGTATATTTTTAAAATATATGTATGTATTTCGAAGTATAAATGCGTGTTTTTATAACTGTCCTGAGCATGGTTTTGTTCATGTTTTTTCATGCGTAATGCTATTTTTAGTTTTCATTTTTATTATTTGAAAATATAAGTAAAATGTTCTTGTTGAAATGCTAGAATGCGAAAGTCATTAACACAAAATATTTGTTGACATTTGAATTTAAAATTACTTTGTTCTAGCTCCCTTAGTGAATTGGAAGACTGCCTTCAGCCCAATAAGGCAGTACTGTATACTTGGGCAGACCCAGCAGGATCTAGGAAATTGACATGGAAATGTGGAAATAGAACCGAGGAAATTTCTCCAAAAGAGGTATGCTTATTATTGAAATCTCCTTCTAGTGGTGTCTAATTTATTGTCCTGTTCATCAGTGTATGTATGAAACTTCATATTTAATGAGTATGATTAGGAGTCTCATATATGAGTTTCAGACACAGAACAGTACCAACACCGTATTTGCCAGAGCTTGTGCCAGTAAGCGTTGTCTTCAGTTGAAAAGTGTGTGTTTGTGTTAGCCTCTTGTAAAATGTCATAGTTAATTTTTTCCTGCACCTTAAAAATGTCTTCTATTATTTTTTATGTTGCCAAGATGTATGCATTCGTTTGTGGAGTAAAATGATGAATAGAGTTCTAAAAACATTTCCTCTCTTGTTTGTAGGACAAAATGGAAATACTCAGAGTGGATTGCAGAAAAGCTGTCTATTTAATGTCATTTTATGAAGGTTTGCAGCGTATTGTCCTGATCACTGAAGATGAGAATGTGTTTAAATTGACATATGAAAGTGTAAAAGCAGAACTAGCAGAACAAGAAATTATTCTGTCTTTGCAAGATGTTGGAATTTCACTGGTTGATAATTACTTAAAACAAGAGGTGTCCTACATTGGAATTACAAGGTAATTTACTTTGTGTGCTGTGGTTTAAAATGTTTAACTTTGGGTATTTTCACTCTGTGAGTTTTATTTTGGGTTGTGATGGAAGAGGAACAAGAGATTTAGGTTAAGAGTATTTAGAACTAAATCACTCTATTTTCCTGGTCAGGAGAAATGTTTTCACTGTTTTATGTTAATGCATATACTTTCTGTATCTGTGTATTTTTGGAATATATATTTGTAACTCTGTGTGGCAAACTTCCCAGTACACTGAACAGAAGTATTTCCTGTTCATGTAGTTTGGCAAGTGATAATAGAATTTCAAGCTGTAAGGTCTGTGGTTAGTTTGTGTCAGTGGATTTTTCTATCTTCACTACAGGAACAGTTGCTGAATTCTGTGTTGGAAATTTTGACGCAGTAGCAGCTTATAGGTCTCTTTAGTTTTGATTGATAAATTATGGTGATCCAGAGCACTAATACTTAGATTTCCTAAGAAAAAATTTCAGAAGGAAGCAGAAAAGAAATTATATAATGTTTGAATATATGATAGCACACATTTCTTAAACAGAGGCTCTTTAGAATGTTAAGGGACACTTACATATCATTGCCATAATCTACACATTCCTGTATATTCACAGCCACGAGGTTGCAAGAGTGAGGGTTGTTTTTTCTTGATTAATTTTTTTCACTGCACTGTAAAATAAACAAGCAAAAACTTCTTATATACATATACTTCACACAGTCACGTCTGTCATTTACAAAGAAAATTCCAGTCTGTGCCCTCACCTTGAGAAACTGTGCTCTGATGTCTAAACAGTGGAAACACTCCATTAAAAGTGACATCTGATTGCCTAGATTCATAGTAGTGTTGAGATTTTTTTGGTGTTGGTGTTTTTGGAAGAAGTCATCCATAGTCAGTGGTCTAGCAATGCTTATAGTTGGTATTGTTTTCTTGTCAAACCCTGAATGGATATCAAGCTCCGGGGAAATGGATGGCAGTACTGAAATTGAGCTTCCTTTTTTAGGAGGAACAAAAAGAAAAAAAAAGACAAGGAACAAAAAAAAGTGGGGAAAACTCCCTAGCAACTTCAAGGCGTTACTCTGTTTTGTAGCTGTTGTTTTGTGTTTTAGCTCACTTTTTTATTTTGGTGGTTCTGCCATTGATGTGTCTGAACACAGACACAGATGTAGCTAAAAGGGTTTAGTGGACTGTCTCAAAAGCTGCATATCTGTGGAAAGAGTAAACATCCTGCACCTGCCTGGCAGTGTTGATTTCTCCCTTGTTTTATGCCAGACTTGATGATGTCGGAGGTCCTTTCCAACCCAGCTGATTCTGTGATTGAGTGACTGTAAGATGAAATTAGACACAATAGTTTCTCATAGAAGCAGTGGAAAAGAGTCCAATGCCCTTTAAAGTTGGTTAATTATTTGTATTAATAAAACTCAGAGACAAAAGAAAAGAATTGATTTAGAGATAACTTTTAAAAAAAAAGCCCAAACAAGCAACAAAACCAAACCCCCCACCATAAAATCGGTAGAGGAAACATGTGAACCAAAGTCACCATCAATTGATTTAGATGGAATGAGTGAAGAAACAATCTATCAAAAATTAGAGGCAGTTCAGGAGGTGTTTTGTCTTGACTTAAACTTCTCGATTTGTAGTAAATTTAAAGTGCCAAAATACATGCAGGAGTATAAGCAGAAAAATACATTGAGATTGTACAATAATGGATGGCAGTGCTGTTGCAACTGAGCTTCCTTAAATATCATTACATACCTGTCTTCATCGAAGTATGGAATTATACTGACTCATTAACTTTTCTTTTTTGTATCATATTGGAGAGACTGGCTTCTGCTTAGTACCAAGAAGGCAGTGGGTGATTTGGGTCCCTTTTATTTACTACAGTAGTGCTTTATGATGTTGTTTTTCATTCCCCAGTTACAGCCTATTAAAAGTGATGCTACAGTAGCTGAAACGTGTTTTGAAATGGCTAATACATCTCTTTTGGTCCTTTGTTTTGTTTTCAAAGTTCTGATGTGGTTTGGGAGACAAAACCGAAGAAGAAGTCAAGGTGGAGACCAATGAGTGTTAAGCAAATTGAAAAATTAGAACAAGAATTCAAAGACTACAGTGAGCTGAGTCCTTCAGAAAATAAGATTATTGAGTTGGAATCAAATGTTTTGGTATTACTGATAGTTCTCTAATTCTTTTGTTTGTATGTATACGCTAGAAAAAGATCATATATCAATTTGGCTGACTTCCAGTGAAATTTGAGATATATCAATTTACGCAATCCATTTGAATATCCTTCTTCATCTCTGTCTTTAAAAAAATTTGGAAGGAAATCCACAAACATTTGAAAGCTTCCTTTTTGTTGTTAGCCTCTAACTTTGAAATTGAGGTATAACATTTTTGCAGGTCTTGATACTAAATATTCATAAAACTACAGTAAGGAAGCTTTGCACTTGGTTTATGTATTATACCAGTAAATGTATTAGTTTGGGATTAGTTTGTTTGTTTTAGCATAAAATCTTCTATTTTTAAGATGGCTTATTATGGGATAATTCAACTGTCATTCAACCACATATAATTGAAAAATAATTTCAGAAATTATTCTGGAATGTTGAAGCACATTATACTCCAAATGCTCAGTCCTCTTCTATAGAAAAATTCTTAGATGCTCCTCAGAAATGTGTTATCGGAAAATAAACATTGCATAAGTAAAACCAATATTTATCTCAGTCATAGACCATTATACTACTCAGCTTTTCCTCTAGAAAGATGTGTATTAAATGCTAGTAACTCCCAAATAATGTAGGATTTTGTAATTTTATTTCTATTGAAATTTGTGACAAAATTTCTAAGTATATTATAAAAAGCAGTATTTTAAAACAGCATACCAAATTTTCTGTAATATTACAATAGGTATGTTTAACTCCTAATGGAATGGACATGAAAATTCAACAACCAAATGAAATTCCTATCAGAAGGAATTATCTGCCAGCTTTAAAAGTGGAATACAGTTCGTCTGCACATCAGAAGTCTTTCAGAATTCAAATTTACAGGATACAGGTGAGTCTTGTCAGAAAGTAGTGAATTACTTATTCAGAAAAAACAACTTTTATAGAAACTTGGATTCATTTTTAGAATTGTTTGAATTTCTCATGTTTTCAATTTATTTGTAATCATTGGCTTTTACATCAGGTTCTCAATCTTTGGAATACTACTTAAATGCCTCTAGGAAAAAGAAAAAAGATAACTATGACTGTTCAGAAAAAAACATTTGCCATTCATCTTCCGTGCTTTTTCTTGGAGCTTTTCTTTGTAACCAGCAAAAAGATATGTGCGGTTTCTTTTCTTGTTATGCTCAAGTTTTTTAAAACAAATCCTTTGTAAAAATTTTTTGGACCATGTACTTCATTTTGTGGACCACCAACTTACAGAAGCTTTTCTAAACTATTTGAATTGGATTATTAAATTTTTAAAATAGATATATTTGTAAGCACGATAGTAGCTTTCTTTCTGTTTTCAGTTTGGTGGAAGACTGCTGGTAATGTTCATAATTCTTTTGTTTGTCCTGATTTTAAAGTATTTCACTATTGAAAAGCTAACGTGCTGCACCTTGTCCTGTCCTTACCCCTCTAATAGATACAAAACCAGATTCCTGGAGCCATATTTCCCTTTGTGTTCTATCCTATTAAACCTCCAAAGTCCATCACCTTGGATTCAGGTTTGTTGTTCTAGTTTAACATAATCCATTTAAAAAGACAAAATAACTTATTTGTACTGAAGTTAACCATGTCACTTCTATCAGATGAAGTCTGTCTGAGCCTTCTGACTACAGATAACAGCACAAATACTAATGTTGGAGATAAGGAAGCAGTTGTGTCTACAAAGAAGATACACAGAAAACCATTTCAACAGTTAACAGTCAGAAGAAAAAAAAATTTCCTTTATCCATCAATATCTTAGCTTTTAAGCACATTTTTTGGCACGCTAATTCATTGCTTTTGGAGAGCATAAGCATGAAAGTTATGCTCAAATCAGGCTTAAAATGAAGTTTTGGTAGTTGCATTCAGACCACAGCTAAAACTTAATGCTGACTAATATACGAGAAGAGTTGTCTGCTGAAAATAAGAAAAGATAGATTTCTTGTTAATGTTGATGATAGCGAATCTGGTGCACTGTTTCTGTCTTGGTTGCATTTCGAGTTGTGGGGCATTGAGGATTGACTTTAGTGAATCTTTAGTCTTCCATTATTTCCCTATTGCTTCAATATCTTAATCATGCAGTACATGACCTAGTGACCTATCTGAAATAACCTTAACTAATAGGAAAAGAAATGTCTAAACTCAAAATTATTTATAAACTCTGTAGATGGAAAATTATATTTTGTCTGGTTTGTATTTAGCCTTCCGACTTCTCCATTGCTTGGAGCATAGTGACATTGCTTGCAGTGTCTCTCTACTACGTGATGAACTGATGTCTTTCATTAAATTTTTCATACCAAATTCACTTGAAAGATCTGAGGAATATCAAAAGGGATTGTGGATTGAGACAAAAAATAATGCTTTAATTTTTTGCAGAAGCTAATAGGATGTCAGGTGTTCATTCTCAATATGATCAGTTTCAAGCTACAGTGCATAAATCTGCAGAATTTTTTGTTCGGTTCTGGGTTTTTTTGTTTGTTTGGGGTTTTTTGTTGTTTGATTTTTCGTTTTGTTATTTTTTTCTTCTATTTTGGTTTTTGGTTGGTTTTTTTTGTAGTTGTTTAGTGTGTATCTTTGTATCAGCAATTGGAAAATCTTATTCCATAACGAAGGAAATTATATAAATCTAAGATTATATCAGTATTAATTTGCTTTTAAATGAAAATGGTGCATTTTAAGAGGTCAGTGAAATAGCATTTTGATGTTCCATTTCATCTTTGCCTTCCCATTCCTTTTTGTTCCTGCTCTTTTCCCTGACTTAGTTGTTTGCCAGTCATATCCATTATGTAATCCTGCTTTACAGGATTGAAAAAACTCTGAATGTATATGACATTTTCATATTAAAACTATAAAGTTATGTATAACGTATGACAGTCTGTGCTGATCTCTTTTTGTTTTACAACTTCATAGCACCAAAACCATTTACTGACGTCAGTATTGTCATGAGAACTGCAGGACATTCACAAATATCTCATATTAAGTAAGTATTTTGACATGTTACATCTCTTCTGCTATTGATTATGTTTAATCAAGCTTTAAAATTAAAATTATTATAGAGGCAAACATAATGAATGTTAATTTTAGCGCCAACTCATTCTTGGAAAGATCGGAGCACTTTAAGAGAGATAAAAGCTCAATGCCTTTTGCTATCCCCATAATTGCAGAGCAAAGCAAGGATTTTTAGGTGTCTTTTTAATGCAGATTTTAGTCTTCTTTAATTTAGAAAAAAAATCTGTTTAGTGGTGGTATGTAGAGTGTTAAATGCCACTACGTGATTAAGATGGTTCTGTTTACCAGAAATGTGTTTATCTTACACCTCTGTGGGAGGCCTTCTTTTCACCAGTAATGATGAATCCCTCAAAAAAACCCAAACCAAAACAAAAAAGAAAACAACAACAAAATATTACAAAAAAGCCCCACACCAGAAAAAGCCGCTATAAAACCTATACCTGAAATTAATACATAAGTGACCTAAATATCCTGTATTAAGTGTTACACATTTCTGTAGAATCCTTAATATTTTTTTTTATTTTATAGGTATTTTAAGGTCCTGATTCAAGAGATGGATCTCAGATTAGATCTCGGCTTCCTGTATGCACTTGTTGCGTTGTTTACACGGACTGATTTGCCAAGTGACCCAGAGGTAGAGACCTTTTGTTGTTTGAAGAGAAATAGATTTTAAAGTTGTAATTAGTCAAATTGTATTAAAAAAAAAAGGTTTTCTGTGTCCGTAACAATGGTTAATTGCTGTGTGTCTAGGATTGATATGAAGCTGTGAGTTTTTTAATTACTGTTGCCTGAGACAGATAGTAAACTCTTTCCTTTATCTTCATCTTGAATGCTATGGAAAGAAGGCTTCAAAACCTTACAGTACAGGGTAAATGAGAGGAATTTGTACAAAGGAGAGTATAAGCAGTATTAGTCAATGTATTGTGTCTCAGTGACAAATGCATGCTAGTTTAATATATTCCAACTTTTGAAGTAATATTCATTTGAAATGCATTTACAGATACAACATTTCAAAAAGGATGTTGAATGTCTTCAAGAAGAACTGATGAGTGTGTCATCAATGGATACATCACAAATCAGCTTGTATGAATACTTTCATATCTCTCCAATTAAGGTAGTCCTTTTTCACATTACAATGTGTGTTTACTCTCTGAAGATTTGTCTCCTACAGGATAATAGGCACTGGAAATGAAGACATATAGAGGTGATCAAAACAAAAAGTCCCAGGAAAGTGCTTTCATTGTTACCACTACCTTAGTATTTCATTCCTATCCATTACTTCCTTTATAATGAGTAATGATTTTTCTTTTTATTATGTAAGATTTCCCTGAAAAATTCTCTAGTTTGTGTGCAGACAGTGTGTTGTGGATTGGAGATTTAAGTAATTTCTGAATAACATGTACAGCCAGGGTAACAAACACTGTTAAAGCTGTGATAGTATCTTATAGGTTCTATAGCAGTACTTAAGAGAATTTCATCTCCATCTCATAGGAAATAAATAAAGGAATTATTTTAGTTTCACCTCTTTGCAGTATCTGGTGAGATCTTAGAAATTACATTGGACAAGAAAAATTGCATAGAGGAAATAGGATGGAATGAATGGGCTTCAGGTTCTAATAAAGGATTAGTCTTTAATGATTAAAAATTAAATGATGGGCTGTGTATCATTGAAATGAGCTATAGTTAAGCTGTGTTATAACATAAATTAATGAGTGGCACATGATATTGTCTTCAGAGAATCAGCAACAGACATAACTTCTTCTAATCTGATTTGGAACACTGCTGAATACATTTGTGCACTGTAGAGCCATTTGAGCAATTTTCCTGAATGTTTTTGTTTTGAGACTGTCTTAATTTCTGTGAAACAAATAATTTGATTATTTCAGGTGTGCACAGGTGGGATTTTTCTTGTATACATATTCCAGTGTTTATTTAGCACCTGTAAAACTTGTGTTAGTAATTATTTGTTTTCAAGCTTTTGTTTTACACTCTTGCTTGGACATCATGCTATGTTATCATTTTCTATCTGCTTTGATTTTGGGTATAACTTACAGAAACCTAATATTTTGGAAACAAGCTAAAAACCTAAATTAAAGCTAAAAGAATCTGGAGACCTTCTCTGAAAACATGAATAAGCAGTTTCTATTTCCTGTTTTCTTAAAGGTAGTTTGAATTACTCAGTTTGGCTTTTTGTCAGTGGGGTTTTTTTGGCCTACATGGTGTATTTATGTACTCTGTTACAAAGTTACTGCTTTCAGTCAAGACCAGGAATGTCTTAACTCAATTTTTAAATAATCTAAAATATTATAAAGGTAGAAATATAATATTTTTAATAATGAACCTTGTTATTTCCCCATCTCATTTTTATCCTTTAGTTACACTTAAGCTTTTCACTCAGTACGGGTGGAGAAGATAGTAATAAAGAAGAAGGAAAGAATGAACTGATACCACTTCAGTCCTTGAATCTCCTGCTGAAGAGTATAGGGGCCACCCTCACAGATGTACAAGATATTGTTTTTAAGTAGGTTAAAAATGTGATTGTAAAGATCACTCCCAAAGATTATACCAATATTATGTTAGATTTTATTTTGCTCTGCATAATAAGGATTTACTTTTTCTCTTTCCTGTTTTTTTAGGTTGTCGTTCTTTGAACTCAGATATCACTTCTGTACTACACAACAGCTCCAATCAGCAGTTGTAAAACATTATTCGAAACAGGTTAGAATATTCCAGTAAATTTATATTTTGCAAGTGTTACTCTGTGTTTTTGTTCTGTGAAACTGAGTAAAATTACTTATTTCTAAGTACAAAGGTAAAATAAACACATATGAAACAATTACTTATTTAAATTTTACTTCCTTTTTACTGGGGAGAAGTGACATAGACAACAATGCAGCTTGCTGGAATGGGTAGGGGAAGCAAACACAATGCAGCTCTGATAGAACATAATTAGCATGAAAATATTAATGCTTTTTCTTGGACATTAGTAGCATATGAATTTTGCTTCCTTCTTGGCTTTTGTATACTGTTGAAGTCCTGTCATCCAGTGGAGAGAATCCAACACACACACTTGTGCATGAAAGAAGTCATCATCTTGTATCCATCGACCATTGATAATAAGGGATTCTTGGGACATTTTAGTTTAGTGCTCTGTCCATCTTTAAAGGAGAAAAAATCAATACAGTATTTTGACTGGGGAAATGAGTTATCTCTTGTTCTCTTTCCCTTACTTTTCACAGGGGGAAAATTTGGCGTTTAGGAGACGTGCAACCTTTTTTTTTAGAACAAATTACACTTCATATAGATGCAGTTACAACATTTTGCAGCGACTATCAACAAAATTTTCTTAGCATATACAAAGAGACCATAGTTTGTCCTGTTGTATGAGAGAAATCTATGTAACATGTTGGCTTTGTAAAATCTCAGTAACTTTAACAACAGTTACTGCTGAAATGCTTTTAAGTATTATTGTTTCTTTGACTGACTTAGTGTGGTTTACTGACTGATTTTAGTACAACTACTACTTTTCCAAGTAATTTTGTGGTTTTTATATTAAACAAATGTTTCTTTCACTGTTTCTAATCTGTAGTTTTCTAAACTACACTGTTTGCCTTTGTTTCAGTGTAATTTAGGAAATATTTAACTAAAAACTCTTTATTTTAGGCTATTAAACAGATGTATGTTCTTATTCTTGGCCTTGATGTCTTGGGTAATCCCTTCGGATTCATAAGAGGCTTGTCTGAAGGAGTAGAAGCATTCTTCTATGAACCATACCAGGTAAAAATCTCTGCTGCCTTTTTATGAAATGTAGTGTAGAAGTAAATAGATAGGAATTGTATTGAAAATCTATATTAATACCTGTTCAGGTTTTAAATTTAGATTTAGAATTCAACATTTCAAGTGAAAGTGCCTGGAAAACTCAAGTGAGATCAAGAGAGGGAAGTCCATCTAACTTAACTCACAAATGACCGTTCCTTACGGTTCTTACTTTACTTCACCTTAAAATAAGCAGAATTCAGGAAATTAATTAGTATTCTAAAATAGTCTGTCATTCTCTCACAGGGGCTTTTGTGGGCACTTTCACACTTTTTGCTCAGTCTTATCTTCTTGTTCTCTTTGTTGCATATAAATCCCAATAAAAAAGCAAGATTTAAAAATATATAATGCATACTATTTGAAGCTTATCATAAATATGTCACTTTTTTTCTCATAGGGAGCCATCCAGGGTCCTGAGGAATTTATAGAAGGAATGGCACTAGGACTTAAAGCACTAGTAGGGGGAGCTGTTGGTAAGTTTCAGCATTGTGATGGTAGTTTGCTTAATAGTCAGCAATAGAGTTGAGTATTTGTAAATTGCATTGGAATTTTAATTTGATTTGTATTCCAATAGGTGGATTAGCAGGTGCTGCCTCAAGAATCACAGGTGCTATGGCAAAAGGAGTAGCTGCAATAACCATGGATGAGGATTACCAGCAAAAAAGGAGAGAAGCTATGAATAAACAGCCCACTGGTCTGAGAGAGGGTATCACTCGTGGTGGAAAAGGATTAGTTTCTGTAAGGAGGAAAAAAAATACAATTAATTTTATGTGGGCAAAAGTAACAAGGGGCTTGTTGTAGTCACCAGAGTGGTTAGTTTTGAATTTTTTTTAGTTAGTTAGGTTTTTGTTAAGTTTTAATTGTGGTTTTGCAAATACATAGCCTCAATTGAGTCATAGTTTTAAAGAAAAATGTAAGAGGGTAGGAGAGAAGGTAGAAATTGTGAAGCATGTGCCTCTAATTCTATTAGCTCGGAGTGAATTTTAGAATACTCCCAACTCATGTACTTTGAGCCTATTCATCAATGAAATAGAAAGAAAAATGCTAAAAATGAAAAATATTACCTGGAAGCCTTTTGGTAATGTCTCTTTTGTTTATCTTGGTAGGGTTTTGTCAGTGGCATAACAGGAATAGTTACAAAACCAATAAGAGGTAAGTTTGGGTCTTGTTTCATTAACTGTTCACATCATGGTAAATTCTTCATATTTGATGAGATATTATAAGTCTGAGATATAAAACTCAGATTTTATATTCCTGCTGATTTTATATTCCTGTTGTTTATATGAACTCCGGATGGAGACTGTGTAGTTGTGTATCAAATAAGAGTTGTATTTAAATAGTAATAAAGTTTGCTACGATTGTAAGAAAAACTCAGTGTCTTACAATGATTTATTGCTCTTAATGCTTTTAGGAGCTCAGGAAGAAGGAGCAGCTGGTTTTTTCAAAGGTGTCGGAAAAGGCTTAGTGGGAGCAGTAGCTAGGCCTACTGGTGGAATCATAGACATGGCAAGCAGCACATTTCAGGGTATTAAAAAGTAAGTAAAATAAGTCTACAGGATAACATATGGCATGAAACAGACAGTAGTACCAGTAGTACATTGTGTCTTCCTATCACTTCTGTGTTATTTACATAATAAATAGGTGGCTCTTTAACAAAATACACAGTTGACAGCATTTAAAAAATAGCCACAAATCTCAGGTATTTCTCGCATTACTGAAAAACTAGTTTTAAAAGCCTTCATGATTGGATTTCCTTCAATTGCTGATTTTTAACTTCTACCCAAAATAAGGAGATAAAAAAGACTTCTCAGATGAATCTAAAGTTACTTTATATATTATTACTATTGTATGAGATGAGTTCCAAGACCACCAGATTATGCTAGGATCTGTCATGGTCGTTCAGACTGAGAACTGTGTTAAGACTGCATTTGAATACTTGGTATTCTCACTTTAATGAATTCATTGCTGAAGATTATCTCACACTGTAATGTATAAAGAAGTAGGAAACAGTTTTGAGGAGGCATTTAGTAACTTTGTCTGAATACGGCAGTTCAATGGCTCTGTTCTTAGTGAGTTAGGTCACTTTTGCTACCATAAGAGTGCCAGTCTCTTTTGTTTTCCACTTTAAACTCTTTAGCAGAGAAATGCAAGAAACATATCAGAGTGGAAGTTCTGTATTTTACAGTTGTCTTTAATTTTGAAGATTTGAAGTACAATGCTTAGACACTAATTACGTATTACAGGCATGTGCTGTCCTGTGCCATCTAGTTTGCTAATAATGATTCTCTGAAACAGATTTCTGAGTCTGTTACTCTTTCACAGGATGTCTACTTCTTTGCAGAAGTACATATATAGACAATAACAGTTGCTGTACTAGGACTTGAGTTTAATTTGTATATGAAATAATTTAGAGCCTTAGCTAAATATTATAGCTGAGTAGAGATATTGATACATATCTGAAGTAATCTGTTTTATTGTCAGAGTTGCAGATTCATCAGATGATGTGATAAGCCTGCGCCCACCTCGCTTCTTTGGTGAAGATGGAGTTATTAGACCTTACAGATTAAGAGATGGAACTGGAAGTCAAATGTTACAGGTGAAGGAAAAATGAGAGATAGATTGACATACATTTAAACTCATCTTACATTAAAATAAATATTTTAGAATTTCCCATTTCCTAAATTCCCAGTCTGCCCATACCTAGTAACTCAATAGTCAAGAAGTTTCATTTAATTTCTTAGGCGTATGCCCACTTTAGGGATACAACTGTGATA